CTCCCAAAATCTGGAGCTGACACTTATCCATGTGCTTATCTGCCCGTGTGTACTTACCTCAACTGAGTCTCAGTTCATGCCACGTTAAACTGAGATGGTGTGGTTAGTTATTGGTTGGTGGCTACTGCCTGCCTCTGTCAATCTGTCACGTTGATCATGCCTGCTTTCCACAGGATAGGTGCACAGTATTTCATTCCTACCAGTCTTTCGAATCTTGCCACATTTATACCTGGCATTTCCTCTAAAAAGGTTAAGTTTGCAATCATTGGATATAAGTTCTGAGTTTACTTAGATTGAGAGATGGCTAAATATTTGAATCTGCATTTTCATTGCTGAGCGGGCATTTGAACATACATTTCCCCCGCGCTGCTCAGTGCTGAACTCAAACTGGTCTGCCACGCTGACCTTTGTAAAGAACGTTATCCCTTAAGCATCTCATAGGCAGAGACATTCCAAATTGGCTTCCATTTTTAAACTTCATGCTGCCTTTTCTAGCTATCTTTGCAAAATTCTGGCCTTTCACCAGAAGTTCTTGGCCGTTAGGATTTATTCTGAGGATTTGTGGCTCACATTTTAGACATTGTCTGATCTAACATTAGAGAAGGAATTGGGCACAATTGGGTACTTTTGCTCCCCAAGCTCAAGAAGTTGACTATTAGCGCTTTAAGTGACTGTCTGCCTTTAATCACCCTATCTGATCCCCAGAGTCCACATCATGTGCCAGTTTCTTCTGCCAGGCTAATATTTCAGGTAATGGGGGTACATGCAAGAATAGCAAAGGCAGAAGCCTGCAACATCAGCTTCACTGCATAGGGAGGGAGGTCCCCTGGCAGAAAAGGTACCTGTCATTTCCAAGGACATTGCCTTTTGGTGTTGCATAAAGTGACAGAAGATGTGTGTGGGAAGCTGGTGAACAGACACATTCTGGAGTAATTGCAAAAATATGCATATACTGTAACATCTGAAGTTCCTCATTGGCAATAGGTGTAGAATAAATGGATAGGAATATATCTGTTTGCTGGATTTATGCTAGGGTAAATTCTATACATTTCTTTTTATAGTTCTACTGAATTAGCGCGTAGGGAAACAGGCTAACTCTTCTGGGAATGCTATTAAGCACAGGTAAATCTATGTGGCCTTTTCTGTCCTGCACTCTGGGCATCCAGTAAGAGGGTCAGGTAATGCCAATGCTGCTTCTAGTCAACGTTATTGATGTAGTTCACCTGTCCCCCAGAGCATATACTGCAACGCACCAATTCCTAGGCATTAACTAAACATTTTTAGAACTTTATTCCCACTAAATTCCTAACAACTGTTGTTGTTGTTGTTGTTTAGTCGTTTAGTCGTGTCCGACTCTTCGTGACCCCATGGACCAGAGCACGCCAGGCACTCCTGTCTTCCACCGCCTCCCGCAGTTTGGTCAGGCTCATGTTTGTAGCTTCGAGAACACTATCCAACCATCTCATCCTCTGTCGTCCCCTTCTCCTTGTGCCCTCCATCTTTCCCAACATCAGGGTCTTTTCCAGGGAGTCTTCTCTTCTCATGAGGTGGCCAAAGTATTGGAGCCTCAACTTCACGATCTGTCCTTCCAGTGAGCACTCAGGTCTGATTTCCTTAAGAATGGATGCGTTTGATCTTCTTGCAGTCCATGGGACTCTCAAGAGTCTCCTCCAGCACCATAATTCAAAAGCATCAATTCTTCTCCTAACAACTACCCTGCTTCATTTCTTGATTCTGAACCAGATCTATTTTATTTTAAGAAGTCTTTCTGGTACACCCAGGAAACCCAACGACGCACTCCCCCTTTGGAAACAGCCTAAGTCAACCATATCTTACAACTGTGCACACAAAAAATGTGCAGTTTGGAACAATCCCTTTAAGCAGCTTATTCCCAAGCATTCAGACACTGAGTCCACTTAGACACTTGTTTTTGTCTGCTTGCATTAGAATGTATTAAAGTATCCCAATAGTACATTAAGTAGTTAACACGTGTTGTCTAAATTATACTCTTCCAGGAGATGCAAGTTCTAGTTACCATGCGCGCAACAATTTTTTTCAAGTGGCTGAATGCTGAGTTAAAGTGATCATGTCAGATCTTCACTTCTCTCTATTGGCTGCCATTCACATTCAATGCAAAACTTATTTACTTAGTAGTATTTTCATGGCATTCCCCTACCCTGCGATTTTGGTCCTTTATTCTGATATATCCCTGCAAGAGACATTCACCGTCACTACTCTGTCACCCATGTTCACCCCCAAGGTTTCCTTCTCGTTTCTCTCTCTGGTTATCAGTGTGTTGGAACTCCTTTTTAGATGATCTGTGATGGAATTATTGTATCTGTATCTGTCCCCTGACCATAATCACATAGTTTTAAAAACTACATGGCCTCAGTTATGACCTTCATTACATTTATTTGTGCTCTGTCATTTTACCTTACACTGCCATAGCCTTTTTCTGCTACCTTGGGTATATTGATCAGTTATGTGTTCAATAGATAAAGAAAATAAGAGCAAGAAAACAGAGGTGCAATCAGGAACTTATATACTGAACACATTTTCCAGAATGGTAGTTGTGGTAATTGCTTGAAAACAACTGGAAAGGGTCTTGTTGTTACACTTTAAACTCTAAAGCATTTATTAAGGCACAAAGCTCTATGGATTAGAGTCCACCTCCTCAGATGCAACAAGCCTTATCCTCAGGTACTCTTCTTGTTTGCCATCCCAGAAAGCATCTGGTTTAACAGATAGGCTCTAAAACCTACTAAGTGTTGTATTTCTCAACGCTATCCATATATATAGACTCTGCGCTTTAATGAATGTGCTATATACTTTAATATTTTGAACAACAATGATGCTTCTGGTGTCTGGTGTCAACCATGCTACCAATCTCTTTGTTGTAAATATACATCTTTGATGACAGTGAGATGGCACATAGCATTGTTTATTCATCAGCACAGGAAGAAATGTGGAATGATTGGCAGCCCTGAAGGGCAGAGACAATTTTATTTCCTTTCATCTTTAGGATGTAGGTGAATTGGGAAAGTAGGTTCCCTGTTTTCATCCCTCGTCTAAAAGTAGCCACTCTTTAAGAGGAAAGGGCCATTTTATGGCAAATCTTTTGCTGACATTTCTTAATTATATCCAGCATGATGCCCAGAGGAACTGCAGAACTGTTTTGAAGTGTTGGTACGGTGGGAGGTAGTCCAGAGAGCAGCCCAGTCACCAGATGTCTCCTGCCTTTTTCTTGAGAAGGTCTGTGGTGGCTCAAGGGCATTCTGAACTCTTGTTTTGGCCATAGGGAGAGGCTACCTGCTTGTCTGTCTGAGTCTGTCGTACAGATGCAGAACGACACAGGTGTGCATAACAAGTGCTGCTGAATGTAACAGGAGCTTTACAAATGTGGCCTTTTATTCTCCAGAATTACATTTTAAAAAGAGAGGCAAGAATTAAGGGCCAAGGGAACAATGTTGGTTGCGCTCTCTCTCTCTCTCTCTCTCTCTCTCTCTCTCTCCCCCCCCCCCCTTGCTGGCAAAATCAGCCACCCTGCACAACAGTTAATCCAATGTATACTATTTCTCATAGAGTCAGGTAATTTTAAAGACAGTTGTTCGTCCCTCTGCTTAATAGTATCATAATCTTATGGGGCAAGAAAGAAAGCTCCAGACAGTAATGATTAAGTCACTGTAACAAAGTTTATATTACACAGGTTGGTTGCATTTGGGGTGGGAATTATGTAAAGTTTGTAGGGTGACCAAAAAAACCCCAATCAAGAATAAAATAAAATAGCTGGGAAACAAAGGATTTGGTTATGAGTTGCATACAAAGATTAAATATTATCTTAAGAGCCTCCCTTCCCCACTCAGTGTGGAGAAGTGAAAATGGAAAAAAAGAGGATATGTTAAATGGAGCACATGGCAGCAACATTTCATATGTGGGAACATGCTTCAAAAGCATTATTTATTATAACAAAATTTGAAAAACAGTACATATCTCAAAATATAAAGATACCTGAAGGAAAATGCATCATACACAAAAACATTAGATTGATATACATTACCTTAGAATTTATTATTTCAATGATTATACACTCATTTTAAAAAAGCAAAAAACAAAAAAACCTGCTGTTCTTTTGCTCTAGTATATGACATTATTATTATTATTATTATTATTAAGCTACCATCTATCTTTGCCCCAAACAATCCAATATAAAAGGAGTTCTTGGAAATTTCCATTCAGTTTGTCTAATAAAAGGGAGCAGAATGTGACCGCTTCTGTATCTTCATTAAAATTAAACCTTTCAGACATCTAAGTAGAACAGTTTTCAGAGCAAATGACAAAAGCAGAGGTTGGGAAGATGTGGCCTCCCAACTCCCATCAGCCCTAACAACATAGCCAGTGGTCATGGTTGTAGGAGATGGAGTCCAACAACAGGTTGGAGGGTCACAGGTTTCTCATCGCTGTGGTAAAATAATATATTTTTTATTATCACCAGAAAGCCTTAGAGACATACATTGGTTTTAGCTCAGGGGTCGGCAAGGTTTACCTCACCTGGGCCAGTTCACTCCAGCAGAGATCCCTCCGTGGGCCGGATAGCACATGCGCCCGCAATTTTCAGCATCTCCGCATGCACGGATGCGATTTTCGGCACCGTGGAAGTGAGTCGCCACACTGTGCCAGTTTAGCGCAGCACGCAGGGGCTTGCCAAGCAGGCAGCTCAGTTCAGGGGCAGCTCGTGGGCTGGTTAAATGACCCCTGTGGGCTGCTTGTGGCTCATGGGCCTTAGGTTGCCAACCCGTTTTAGCTGGTATTCCATCTTATTAAAATAGTTTTCATATACAGTGGTACCTCGGGTTAAGAACTTAATTCGTTCTGGAGGTCCGTACTTGACCTGAAACTGTTCTTAACCTGAGATTCCACTTTAGCTAATGGGGCCTCCCGCTGCTGCCGTGCCATTTCTGTTCTCATCCTACAGCAAAGTTCTTAACCTGAGGTAATATCTCTGGGTTAGCGGAGTCTGTAACCTGAAGCGTCTGTAACCTGAAGAGTCTGTAACCTGAGGTACCACTGTACTATAGCTACTACATCAGTTTATTCACATTTTTATCCCATTTCCCCTCATCTTATTTATAGTTGGTTGGGACTATTTCCCTTTGTTCGTATTGTTCACTAGAAAGCCTAGTGCCAAAAGTCTTGCATTAGTGGACAGTTTCCAAAATGTGTGAAAATGTTCTGCTCCTGACATCTCCAGATACCACCTTGTGTCATTTCTTTCACTACCAGTTGTCATGCCCAGTGCTGTGGAGACGAATATCAGCCTGAAATATTGCATCTGATTGGCGCTATCAGGAGTTTTGAAAGCCCCAGACTTCTAGAAGCTGCACCTGGAAGTTTTCTTGGCAGAGAGGAGGGTTGTCAAATGTTTCGCAGTGCTCCGTTCTCCCATGATGCAGATCAGCGTCAATAAACAGAGCTTGGCCTCCTCCACCACCTGGGGGGGAAATGAACAGAGATTTGTTGTGGGCTGTTGCTGGCTATGAAAAGCAAACTGAAATGCTGTCCTCTGTTGTATGATCAGTAGCAGATTTCATTGCTGTGAAGTTAAATCTGAAACACTCTGATTGGACGACAACAGCATATTCAGGGGCACAGAAAAGAAATGTGTGTACGGTATATCAGCCCCAAATTTGGTACTTTGCAAAACTAGTTCCTTTTCATTATAGTTACTCTGTCAGCAAACCACCTGCTGAAACATAGTAACAACCATTCAAATGGCTTCGTCTAAATAATTGAACTGGTGAAAGACAGCGAAGGGATTAATCTTGCATTTCCAGAGACTAAACCTGACCTAAATTTCAACACGGTTTGCAAGGAGCTCCAAAATAAGCTTTTAAACCGGAAAGGCATATGCCTATCTTACGCCAAAGTACTTGGGAATATTTTCTGTGCTAATGTGATCATGTAGCCTCCTAGTGGCTGTCATCAGTAGCCACAGTATTCTCAAGCTGCTAGGTTGCTCACGTATAGCACAGCACCCCTGCATTATATATGAGCACAAAGGTCTCTCAGTTTAGATTAATGCCTTATTCTGCATGCAAACAGTGTTGTCCATAGGTGTATATTGCTGCATGTTGCACGCAAGCAGTCAAGCTCATTGTACCATCACTGGTAGGCTGTCAAGTTGATATTATTTGTGCTACCTTACATAGAGCTATACCTCACATCAGTGCAAGCCTTCTCATCACTCAGTTCCTCTGTGAAATGTTTTGGTTTATCCTTTACCCCTAACAGCAGGGATCTGTTGCTAAATCGCAACTCCCATCAGACCCAACCAGCATGGTCAATGTTTAGGTGTTTGTGCAGGACAGGTCACATGGCACATTCAGTTCTACCTCAACAACACCATGCCACTGCTGCCTCCCTTCCCTGCCAGCAACTGCTGCTTGAGGCAGCTTCCCTGCTCTAATGGTAGGGCCAGTCCTGGGCACCAGAAATGTCTGTGGCACTATGGTCTCTGTGACAGCTATAGTCTCATAGTAGAAGGATAGCTACCTATGATGATCTCTTTCTGAGTTCCAGACATGAACATGGAGGCTGTTTTGGAAGGCAGCTTGAAGTGTCGAATAGCCAGGAATGGAGAGAGGCGGTATTTAATCATGTCCAGCACTGGCACAGTGAGGTGGTTTGAGCTGGTTGTTGAGTGACCTTCGGAAGAGAAGGGAGATGGAGAGCGTGGGCGTGGGGATCGAGGCTGAGCTTTAGCTTGTTCCGGCTTCTTGATGAACACCCACTCATATCTCTCCATTTCTGGGTGAACCTTTCAAAGCAAAATGACATAAATCAAGTATATTTTTCCATTGCGGTTGCTCTGCTAGGGCAGCACAGGACAGGAGAGCACATAGGGCCTGAGCCCATCTGACTGGCAGCAGCTCCCCAGGGTTTCAGGGAGGGGTCTCTCCTAGCCCTGGAGGTGCCAGAGATTGAACTTGGCACTATGTGCTACTCTGAGCTGTGGCCCTTCCCCTAGGACAGAGCTTTCCAAACTTTTCATGTTGGTGACACACTTTTTCAACATGCATTATTTCATGCGGCACACCTATACACTGGAGGCAACACACTAAAGTGTCACGACACAGAGATTGGAAAGCTATGCCCCAGGGCATGACTCCTTGAGGGAACTGGTTCCAACTGAGCTCCTGGTAACCTCAGTATGAACATAGTGCACATAGAATTTAAGGCTTGGAGGGAACCTTCAAGATAATCTAGACTAGGGTTTTCCAAACTTGGGTCTCCAGCTGATTTTGGACTGCAGTCCCAGTCATCCCTGACTACATGCAGGAAGCCCACTGTGCTCACATGCCATGCTGCGCTTTCAGAACAAGGTGGCGCAGAAGAGGAAATTGCAACTCCCTTCTACAGCCGGCTGGCCGCCTTACCTAGTAGGGGTGTTGAGACTCACAGCTACATTTTGGGATAGGCAGAGTGGGATTCAACTTTACCCTGAAAATGCATTTTTAGGCCCACATTTAATTTTTACTGCTTATTTATATGGTGTTGGTGCTGCTGGCGGGACCCACTTTAGTTCGGACTGTGATCCAGTATTGGTCAGGCTGTGACCTACCAGTTGAAGGCCAATGAATAAAAGGACTTTAAAAATTGTAAAATCAACCCAATCTCCATTACGGGAATAAATTTTAGACTCACTGTGAAAACAAAGCATTCTCCTGTGCCAAAGAAACTTGATGTCCCCCCACTTTTTTTCCTTTCGCTCCAGTCGGAGGACAGAAATGCTCCACACACCTGTATGGAAGGAAAAGACAAGAAGCAATAAATTCTGTCATTTGTCATTCCTAGAGGATCTCAGAAAGAGCTGAGGAGCCAAATATATATATTTTATCACAGAAGATTGATAGGGTCACTCCCTTCGAACGCTTTAATTGGAGCAGCACAGCCATAATTGGATATGGCTATGTACCAAATAGAGTAGTGTCACAAAATGAGATACTATCACAGTCTTTCAGCCATTTTATGACAGCATAATAAGCAGATAAAACTGGAGCAAATATTAGGATAGGGACTTTGGATTGACAGAGAGCTTAAGGTTTGTAATTTGTGATCTCTCGCTGTTAATTAAACTAAATTTTAAAATGTGTCTTCCCTTCAATGACATGCAGATCTGGGGTGTCTAACAAATCAAAGAAACATGAATTACACGCTATAATTCAAGCCTTCTTTTAAAAAGTTTTAAGCAAAACAGCATGAAACCAGAACATTAAAAAGTTAAAAACTTTAAAGAGCACCATAAAAGACAGGACTTTTGTTAAAGACCTGAAGGCTGAGCCTTCTTGGAAAGAAGATTGTAGAGGCAAAGCACCACAACAGAAAAGGCCTCTCCTCACTCACCTCTGATCACCTAGACCAGTGGTTCTCAACCTGTGGGTCCCCAGATGTTGTTGGACTACAACTCCCATCATCCCTGAGCTCTGGCCTTGCTAACTAGGGGTGATAGGAGTTGTAGTTCAACAACATCTGGCTACCCACAGGCTGAGAAAGGCTGACCTAGACAGAGAGGGGGGCCTGAGCAGGTTGAGGTGGAAGCAAGTGTCCCTTCAGGTACCCAGCCATGAAGATAAGCACCACCCACAATGTGTCAATGTCACTTTAGTCTAGTTAAAGGAAAGCCTGGACCATTTCATGTGTTACATTTTGAAGTGTACACTTAAGATTGTGAGTGGAAAGCAATGCGTTGTCCTTGGCTGCAGCTCCCTATCGAGTATGAAAACTTGGTGGAACAGAACTCAGTTGTGGTTCTTTTTCCTTTCTTAGGAGTGAAACAGATATGCAACTGGCATGTAACTGACATCCAAAGTAGCACAGTTTACGAATAAATACACTCATTCATTTGTTATGACAAAACAGCTTTGCTTGCCCAGTATTGCTGTCTTTAGGAGTGACCCAACCAAGAAAAGTAATAGTGCCTTCTATCAATTCTGAAAGAACAGTACTGTTTGGAAGCATCCCTTTCACCTGGGAGTAAGGGAACCTGTACTGTCCCGTGTCTCGAAACAGATGCTCTTTATAGCCTTCCTAACCATTCTGACCCAGATCTCAATTTGCCTCTATGATCGCCACTCTTCCCAATTTGGCAAGCATCAGAGTGAGTTACAGATATGAATGAACAAATGCTTGTGTTCACTATTCAGCGAGCATCCTTCAGCAGAGAACTTTGGAACTTGTTGCTAGTCCAGGCAGCATATACAGAGTACCCTGCTGATGGTTTCTGACATTTCTGTTATTTGCATTTTCAGCCTAGACCCATAGAAGAAAGGCCCGACCCTCAGGTGTCTCGGATGCTCAGAAGAGACTTACCTCCCCTAGTGTGGTTTTTAACAACAGTACCGTTGGTTCGTAGCCTTCACAGCAGGAATAAAACCTGCAAGAAACAAAGATGGAAGAAGGATGAGCTAATGTCAGGGAAAGCAATCCCATTATAGCACTGAGGTGGAAGTCGAATGGACTGTGACCTGTCAGCACAGTACATTCTACTTTAGTGCATTACTAGGAAGCCTGGGGCAACGAAAGCATCAAGGTGCAAGCAAAACAGGCTTCCTGCATAATCATCCAGATCCACTGCATGCTTTCCACATTAAGAACAAGAGTCCTGCTGGATCAGGCCAAAGGCTCATGTAATCCACCCAAACTGCCTGTTGCACTCTATGCTCTTCTGTTTCTTCTTGGGCTGGACCCCATGATGCTTTGTGTCCTCCTGCCTGGGTTTGGGGGAGGATTTTCTGGATTAAGTCCACTGCTAGTGCAAGAAGAAGTAATTTAGGGAGGAGATGGAATGGCTCTGAGTTGCAACACTGATACTGCAAGGTCTCTGCAGAAGTTGGACGTAACTCCATCCCTTTGGTGTTTTCATGCATCACAGAGAAATCTGTCTGTGCATCTCTTTTGATAGGTTTGGACGCTACTAGTTTAAATACCTGGAGGAATAGCAGTACATAGTGACAGTCATCAATCTCCTTGTTCTTACCATTGCTGTGTTAAACAGGCAGCCTTTGCAAACTCATAAAGGAGAGGTGGCAAAAACACTCCGTTCATTTTCAGTATTGTTTAGGGATGTGTAATAACAGGCAAGGCTGGCATGCTATGTGGAGTTTGAAGCCAGAATTTTTGCTCAGTGGTGCAGGTAATTGCTCAGATAAAATTTTAAGCACAACATAATCTCAGGGGTGCATGCAGGATCTTGACATACGATTCCTAGGTCTGAAATCAGGAGGCTTAATTGTGAATGTGAAAGTATATTTCTTTGGATGTGGGTGTGTCTTAACTATTATTTGCCCCAGGACTGTGACACTGATCAGATCCTACTATACATCTTCTGAGAGGGCAGGGGGCACTTTCACACTTCTACCAAGCAGACCATCAGGGCTGTTTTTTAACAAGATTTGCTGTTATTACATGTGTTCCAGTGTACCTGGCCAGACTTCAATATTTACGTTCTTTTATTTTGGAAATGTCAATAGAAAATAGCTCGAGGCCCATCTCTTTGTAATGACAGAATGGCCAGGTGCTAGTATGAGATGCAAGGCCTGCAAAGCAAGTCCTGGGAACTTTCCAAGGTAGTCATCACAAATTCATGGTTGACCCTTCTGACATTAGCAGGCTGCATCCCTATAGCCACTTCTGCATGCACATTTTCAAAACAGCGGTGGTGGGGGGGGGAAGGACAACACTGGCAGCAGCCTCCATATGATCCATGGAGCAAATTTAAGCAGTCTTTCCCCTCACTTATTTGTGTGTTGCATTGAAATCCTAACATTTTATTGTCCAGCCTTTTTGCCTTTTGCTTTTAGTCAGTCCTGTTCCCAGAAGGCTTCTCTCCAAGCAACATAAATGTTATGGGTCAGAAGTATAGGAACACTTCCTTTCCATCAGCCTGGAGCAGAGGAAGAGAAGGGAAGCAGGGCCACTCCAGAGAGATCAGCTCCATTTTGCTCCTTCTCTTCCTCAACTGTTTCCATCCCAACTGATCCTTATACAAACTTTAAAAACTGCTCCTGGAGTCCCCCCCCCTTTTAATCATGTTGTGTCATGCTAGTCTGAGGGCACACACTATTATCAATCTCATGTCAGCTGCCCTGGGAGCCCTTTTGGCTGAAGAAATGTTTTAAACAAACATTATCCCTATGGCAATTCCTGTGCAAAAATAATAATAATAATTCATTGGGGCACATTCTCACATTAATTCTTAAGCCTAGATAAATGCCCTGAATAATAAGCAACAGTCCACCATCATGTTCTCACAGTAGCCAACTAGTTGCTTCTGGGAAGCTCGCAAGCAAAATGTGAGGGCAACAGTAGCCTCCACATTTGTGATTCCCAGAAATTGGCATTCAGAGGCATACTGCCTCCAACAGATAACTTCTTGTTATTTATTAAATTTGTGTGCCTCCTTTCCAGGGCTTTTTAGGTTTGATGAGGCCCTAAGCTACTGAAGGGACGCAGGTGGTGCTGTGGGTTGAACCACAGAGTCTAGGGCTTGCCGATCAGAAGGTTGGTGGTTTGAATCCCCTCGACGGGATGAGATCCCATTGCTCAGTCCCAGCTCCTGCCAACCTAGCAGTTCGAAAGCACATCAAAGTGCAAGTAGATAAATAGGGACCGCTCCGGCGGGAAGATATACAGCGTTTCCGTGTGCTGCTCTGGTTTGCCAGAAGTGGCTTAGTCATGCTGGCCACATGACATGGAAGCTGTACAACGGCCCCCTCAGCCAGTAAAGCGAGATGAGTGCCGCGCCGCAACCCCAGAGTCGTCCACGACGGGACCTAACAGTCAGGGGTCCCTTTACCTTTTAAGCTACTGAAGGTAATGGGACCCTTTGTATGTCCAGCTGTCAACAACATATTGTCACTGTTTTTTGTGTTGAATATTTTAGGGAGCAGGCTAGCAGGCGGGGCCCATTATTTATACATCATAGGAGCCTACACAACACAAAACACTGTTGCTGTATGTACGTTTTATTTTATTTGTTTTTTATCTTATATTTTGGAAATGTACATCCAGGTGTTTTTTCCTTTACATTTTTTGGAGGCCCCCAAGAGAGTGGGGCCCTAAGCTATAGCTTGTTTAAGCTTATACGTAAAACTGGCACTGCTCTGTTCATCTGAAGGTCACAGGGTGGTTCACAACATAAAAATACAAAGTGAGAACACAAAATACATAATAAACCCAAACACAACGCACCATTCCAAGGCAAAGTAATACACTTCACAGGTTATTACCGGTACCTCATTTCCTCCACAACCCTGAATTATTCCTCAAGCCTCCCTGAATGAACAAGCCTTGTTGTGGCTCGTAACCATTGATACCCATATCCATGATTTTTTTCTCATTTCCTTCTAAAGCCATCCAAATTAGTGGTCATTCCATAGGTTAGCTATGCACTGTGCAAAGGACTGCCCTGAGTCTTCACTGGATAGTCCCAAGTCTTCTGTGGAAGAGAGAGAAAAATCTCTCTCCACTGGTTTAGCTATGTACTATGTGAAGAAGTATTTCCTTTTATGCTTCTTGAAACTTCCCACATTCAGCTTCACCGGATGGCCCCAGGTTCTAGTATTAGGAGAGATGAAAAAAAGCTTTTCTTCTCACCATGCATAATTTTATAAAACCTTATCATGTCTCCCATTACTTGCCTTATAACTAAACTAAAAAGCCCCAAATGTTTTAACCTTTCTGTTCATTTTCTTTATCCTGTTGAGAATTCTGATGGTTTGAAACTCACTGTGCGGATGCCTACTTACCTCTGCAAGCTGTATCCATTTTCCGAAGTTGAGAATATGCGGACAGGTGAGAACAAAGAAAATCGTTCAGGGATCCAGGACCAGACAACACGCATTTCCTGAGCAGTAACAATGGTGGAAGAGAAATTGTGGGCATTCACAGTGAGGTGAAATGGTTGCCTGTACAGCAGAGGAGAGAAGGGAAAAATAATTAATCCTGTACTGTAAATAGCTCCATAGATCCCAATCCTGAGGACAAAGATTTTTCTTCCAAAGATACTACTAACCAAACACACAGCCAGCTCTTCATATGTTATGTCCAATGGTAGTAGACATAACAGACTGTTGTGTCAGTTCCAAAGAATGAGATCCAAAATTAGTCAAGGCAATTACTTTTTCGAGAACGAATACAACAATTGGCAATGTGGTATAGATTAATTCTAAAGCAGCTGACCCAGAAATATCACTTTACCAATGCCATGTGCCTTTGTGCTTCCTAAATCCCTTTGTCACTTGGGACAATCCTGGTCCTTTTTGTGCTTCTATACTGAGGCCACAATCACACCATACATTTGAAGCACTATCAGTCATGATTTCCACCCCCAAAGGATTATGGGAGCTGTAATTATTTAAAGGTGCTGAGAGTTGTTGGGAGAGTCCTGTTCCTCTCCCAGAGCTACTATTTCCAGAGTGGTTTAACAATCAATCCCCAGGGAACTCTGCAAATTGTAATTCTAGGAAGGGAATAGGGGGCTGCTATCAACTTTCAGCACCTTTAACAAACTACAGCTCCCAGAATTCTTTAGTCGCAGGTCATGACTGTTTAAAGTGGGGACCATAGTGGTAGCAGGAAAAAAAATCTGTATGAGATTATCCTATGGGGACTGAATGTCTCTGGTCATCTCTAGCTGTACTGTAGAGTGCTCTGTAACTGACTTAGCCGTAAAGTTTGTTGGAGTGCTTCTCAAAAGAGAATGTGCAATATCTAAAGTAGGATGTAAAGGAGATCCTTCATAGAATCATAGAACTGTAGAGTTGGAAGGGACCATGAGGGTCCTCTAGTCCAACCCCCGGCAATGCAGGAATCTTTTGAACCCACTACCTTGAGATTAAGAGTCTCATGTTCTACTGACTGATCTAACTGGATGGTGCCTCATGGCCTTTTGTACCTGTGCTGCACTGCGGTCACTCCTTTCTCCACTAATGCCTTCCTGTTAGCCATTTGAAGGAGCCAGATTTCTTTGCGGGAGAAAAGCCGGATGCTGAAGGCCTTTTCCAGAAGCTTGTCGGTGGTCATGTGCTCACGAATGTCCCGCATGAAACCCCACAAACTCCCTTTGATATCCACCACCTCCAAACCTTGTGAAGCCACGGACAGCTGGAACTGCTTGAGCAGGGCCAGCGCGATCCGGTAGAGGACTTTCTGCCCCTCCAGAAGATACACGTCAAAAATGCGGATGACATAATCGAATGGGAGGCCATCAAAAAGCCAGACCAGCCAGTCAGAATACACCTCAAAGATGTTGTCCGATGAGCTCGCTATCAGGCGGTGGGCAGCTGGGCAGTGTTTGTTGGCCAGGTCCCCAAAGGTCATGCACGAAGCCTCGTGGGTGAGGAAGGAGTGGTCAATGTAGGAGGTGTGGGGAGCGTTGCAGTAGAGGAGCCGGCAAGTGTCCTCAAAGCACTGGGCCTCACCTTGGCTGTAATGGAGCATCAGGGCAGTCACAGCGGGAAGCAGGGGGCAGTAGGTGATGTCGGGGTACAAGCTGGAAATGCAGATGAGTATCCTTTTCACTGCAATTACCCCTTCTTCAGAGAGGCAGTATTCGGGCATGATGCTTCCTTCCAGGAATTCAGGTAATGGGTCGAAGCTCTCGTTCGGGGCTTCAAACAGCTTGCTGGCAACATCTCTGTAGACTTCGGCATCAGGGGTCATGAGCTGGCACGGTATGTGCTGGATTACATGCTGATAAGCCTGCGCCCTCAGACCGTGACTTCCTGCCCAGCGGCCTTCCCTCCCCAGCTTTTTGAGCTCCTTCATAGACTTGCCAAACAGGTGCTCCTGACTGTCCTGCTGCTCGTTCAGCTTGGGCATCTTGTTCTGGTCCACAAATTCGCTGCAGCGTAAGCAGGAGGCTGCGTCCATGTCCATCGCAACCACCGAAGGGATTTGAAAGGCCTTAGATAGATCGGTGGTCTCTGTGGAGCAAAAGCACCATGGTTCAGCACGATTCACATCTCACCATCGGGCAGATTGCTTAAACTGTTCCTGACAACTGTGGGTAAAAAGCACTGGGATTTTATCCAGTCTCTTGGGAGTTGCAACCACAGACAATTCCCACTTCAAATTTAAACCCAAGCACCGGTCATAGTTATCACTTGTCACCTCATAGGCTTTCATTTACTAGGTACAGTATTTGGGGATGCTTCCATCTCTCATGTAAATCAAAGCTATCTGCTCATCATTAGTTAAAAAGATAGAACAACGAAACATTTAAATGTGAGTAAGCATAGAGCATAGGGTGGCGCTGTGGGTTAAACCACAGAGCCTAGGGCTTGCCGATCAGAAGGTCAGTGGTTCGAATCCCCATGGCGGGGTGAGCTCCCGTTGCTCTGTCCCAGCTCCTGCCAACCTAACAGTTCGAAAGCACGTCAGAGTGCAAGTAGATAAATAGGTACCGCTGTGGCGGGAAGGTAAACGGCGTTCTGTGTGCTGCTCTGGTTCGCCAGAAGCAGCTTAGTCATGCTGGCCACATGACCCAGAAGAGTCGGTCACGACTGGACCTAATGGTCAGGGGTCCCTTTACCTTTACCTTTAAGCATAGAGCAAGGGTGGTGGACCTCAGGCCTGGCGGGCTGAATGTGGCCCTTCAAGTCTCTCTGTCTGGTCCTTGGTACTCTCTCAAAGCCATACCCACCATTAGCCTTGCTTCTCCCCCTCCTTGAGTGTTTTTGCCAGGCTGGAATGTGTTTTTTAACTCTTACTTCCTTGGGTGGAGCAGATATAAAGGGTGTGAGAGCGTGTGTAGAAACTAGCCTACTGTCCAAGGGTAAAACTTCAATTCATTGCCTCACCCATGTTTGCCTCTGGCCTTGCTCAGCAATGGCATGTGGCCCCTAGAAGGGAAGGTGGCCCTTGGGCTGAAAGGGGGTTTCCAATCCCTGGCACAGAGAATGTAGATCCATATACACATTATGCAACATATAAACATAGGCTTGTTGGTTAGGAAATCAAAATCATTAGGCATTGGTAGAATGAATAAATGGTATTCTAAAACTGATTTATAAATCTGAAAGTGGTACGAAAAGGCAAAAGGAACTATTTGCATAGCAACAGGATTTTCAAAGTGCATTTTCCCAGACTGTATTTGGAGCCAAAAATCACCCAAGCACATATTCTCTGAGGGAGTAAGGAGTTCAGGAACCTAGGAAGTATTCCATAAGCTTCCTTCAGAAAGCTTCAACTCCATTTAGATCTGAAATCAGATTCTCCTAATGTGAAATTGTTGGCATGGGCAAAAGGGTAACCACCTGCTTGATGATATGGGCCGTTCAGTGTTCCAGAGGCAGACTTGTGAAAAGCCAATCAAGGCATGAATAATATCATGCAATCTGAGCCAGGCAACTGCATCTTCTTCAAGTAACAAGGTAGATTATCATTTAAATGAGAGAGAGGTGGGGACAGGCAGGCAGGCAGGCAATTAATACCCACTTCCTGGGAAGGCCTCCTCAGGAGAAAAGAGATGCCATGCCTGCAGCTGCAGATGACAGCCATAAAATAAACAGATGGGTTACTTTGCTGATTCTCCCCATGATGGAGTTTAGGGCTTTCTAAAATAGAAGACAGAACGTAAAACCGGTGAAACGTTAGAAATCATGGTGAATATAGGTCACATTAATCACAGTGTGTTTAATACTTAATTGATCCTGCTTCCTGATCTGCTAAAACATAAGTAATAAAATAAAATTTTGGTTGGAATGCCCCTTGCAATGTATTGTTAAATAATGTATACAGCTTTCTGTGTCTGTTAGCTATCAGGGTTGTCAAACTTTTTGTTTGCCTGGGTATCTTGCTGTAAATATCTGGATTGTGAAACATTGCAGTTAGAGCAAGGAGGCTACTTTTATAGTGTTACAGTATTTATGTGATGTGTGTGAATGCAATGATGTAAGAACATAAGAGCCCTGCCAGTTCGGGCCAATGGCCCATCTAGTCCAGCATCCTGTTTTTACAGTTGCCAGCCAGATGTCTGTGGGAAGATAAACACAAGACCTAAATGCAGCAGCACTCTCCCCTCCTATGGTTTCAAGTAACTAGTATTCAGAAGCATACAATGAAAGCATATCCTAGTCATTGTGGCTAGTAGCTTTATGTTCCATCAATTTATCTAATCCTCTTTTTATTTCCATCTAAGTTGATGACCATCTACATCCCAACACTGCTTCCCATGGGCGTTTCTTCCATAATTTAACTATGTGCTTCTAGATTCAGGTACGTAGCCGTGTTGGTCTCATGCAGTCAAAATAAATAAATAAAATTTTAAAATGTTCAGTAGCACCTTAGAGACCAACTAAGTTTGTTCTGGGTACAGTGGTACCTCAGGTTAAGAACTTAATTTGTTCTGGAGGTCCTTTCTTAACCTGAAACTGTTCTTAACCTGAGGTACCACTTTAGCTAATGGGGCCTCCTGCTGCCGCCATGTCACTGCCGTGCGATTCCTGTTCTCATCCTGAAGCAAAGTTCTTAACCAGAGGTACTATTTCTGGGTTAGCAGAGTCTGTTACCTGAAGCATCTGTAACCCGAGGTACCACTGTATAAGCTTTCGTGTTCATGCACACTTCTTCAGATAACTATGTGCTGTGTAGCATATATTGCATTTTGCTTTTCTACCCAAGAGCACAAGATTGTGTATGTTTTCCTCCCCTCCCCATTTTACATTTGCAACAGCCCTCTAAATTAGGCTAGGTTACATTAATCTATCTGCCTAAGCAGCAGTTCTTGTCAATAGATTTGGGGGTTGGGATGCAGGGACCCTAATCCCTATACAGTATACTGTTTATAGGAAATCCTGTTGACATCTCTGAGGACATGATAGAGTAAGAACTTGTGAGTTTTTACTAAAATCTGTTCCGAATAGAATGCCTCCAAGAATGGCTGCCCAGGTCCTAATGCTATTCATCCCTGCATTAGGTTTAGAAGATACATTGGGAAGAGTAATTCCAAAAGCACCTTAGAGGCTGAATACGTAGTTAAAGCTGAAATATACTGGGAGTGATATCACTGTGATTTTGCATGGTCCTGAAGGTGGGAGAGATAACAGTTCAGTGCACACTTGCTGTTGTAGGTTTGGAGTTGATAAGGTCCAGAACTGTTTTCCCAGAATCCTTCATAATGGCTGCAAATTAAACTGTGCTAATGCTTAGCATTCAGTTAACACCTGTCGCCTAACAATTTATAGCATTGTTATATTATTAATTTGTACTGCAGAGATGCTACAGAAATAGAAATGCCAGAACACAAACACGGGTGTCAGCTGGAATGGCTCATTGCTTGGAGAAAGAAGGTGGGGAGGGGAGAGTAGCGAGTGACAATCAAATGCAAAAAACCATCTGGAAGTTGTTGCTCTCCTCAGAGCTGAAGAGGGTGGTGTTAGTTTGGAGGCCCTGATTGCAGTTACAGAGTCTGTAGCTATGGCTTCCCCAAATGATGGCTCTCAGGCACTTAATGTTAATGTATTTGATCCCTGGCTTTTTATTTCTAGCCTGGGGATGTAATATCCTTCAGGGTCTGGGAAAGTGACACACTCCAGTTCACTGGTGTCTGCAGGAATATTTTAGGTGCAGGGGGGTGTATACATGCATACAGAACTGACATCAAAGAACATGTCTACCATTTCTGATAGATCTGGTGACAAATAGTCATCCAAGATGGATAGGTCTGGCCTCTAAGAAACTTATGACGCCCATTTCTCTCTCTAAATGGCTAGACTTCTGTCTATGTCTGGCATCTAGATAACGTCCTTCCACCCACAACTGAAACTTTTTCCCCTAGCTCCCTTCACCCCTGTACCTTTAATTAATTTCTCAGCTGCTACAACCAATTTCACAGTCCATCCTGCATTTCCCTTTAACGACAGCAGCAACAAACCAGAATAACAACAGCGGGGTTGTCATACAACACTCTTAACTTTGCCGTCCTTCCAGTAAAGTGGGTAAAGCAACACTGGGTGCAGGACTGATATAAACCATATCCTCTCAACCTCCCCACACCCAGCAATACAGTGGTACCTCGCGTTAAGAACTTAATTCGTTCTGGAGGTCCGTTCTTAACCGGAAACTGTTCTTAACCTGAGGTACCACTTTAGCTAATGGGGCCTCTAAGAAACTTATGCACCATGTTGACGCCCATTTCTCTCTCTAAATGGCTAGACTTCTGTCTATGTCCCACTGCCACCGCGTGATTTCTGTTCTCATCCTGAGGTAAAGTTCTTAACCCGAGGTACTATTTTTGGGTTAGCGGAGTCTAACCTGAAGTGTCTGTAACCTGAAGCATCTGTAACCCAAGGTACCACTGTATGGGTATAATAATGATGGATTTCTCTGCATTGGGATGGTTTTCTCTTTCGTTTTTACAAGTTTCGGGGAAGGAGAGAATCACGTCTTAAATACGCATTTTATGCTGTGAACTGCCCTGAGATCTTCAGATGAAGGGTGGTTTCAGGCGCGCCACCTTGGCCCCAAGACAGATTGTGCCTGGGGCATGCTGGCACCATCGCAGTGTGCCTGTGTAGTGTCGGCACGCCCTGCAGCATGAGCACAAGACATCAGCATGACCCGCAGCATGCTGACATCGCTCACGCATGTAGCGGGGGCGTGCCAACGTCACATGCACAGGCCCTGTGGTATGCTCACTCCGTGGAGTGGAACCTTGGGGGGGGGCCTTCATTAAAAATTTGTGGGTACCTGGACACCCAGTGTGCCACATAAGTCAGCGCTTATGGGTGGTATACAAATTTAAAACAAACAAGCTGAAGTTAGAAAATTCATAAATGCAGTTACGCTATCATCCTGGATTTCTGAGCTTCATTCTATGGGGCGGCAAGGACATTTTCACCAGGGAAGACACACACAGACAAACCTTAAAGTGAACCAAGGAGTATGTCACATTCTCTTTCCCTAATTGGCTAGATCTACTTTGCATTATAACGGGGCTGGCCCTGTTCTTATCACTTGGAAAGTGGGGAGCAGATCAGAATATAGAAACCAAAGAACTGAGAGCAGGAAAGAAATGAAGAAAAAAGGCTTGCAGCTGTGGTGGGAATGATATAGAGAGTGGGGGGGGGGTCCTTACGCATCCCTGGGATAAACCATATGAAAAGTCCTGGGAACAAAAGAGTTACATGGCAAAGGAAATCATATACAAAAGGCAAGGTAAACAAAACATGTTGGAGAAAATGGATCAAGAGATAAAAGAGACTACTGGAGAGGCTAAACTGTGCCAGGGAAGGTCATTATAGTTGTCTACAGACCCGAGGTGTGCCTAAAACTCCTGCATGAGATGAAAACCTCTGAAATTAAATGTGTCCTGTGGGCAAGTTCTTTAGCCCTGCTGTTGAAGTTGAGTCCCCCTGGGGGAAATACTGTGCAATTGCTAAAAAGAGTTAGTTAACGATGACCTAAGAGTAGTTGGAGGGAATGTTTTGCAATTGCTGAAAAATTGTGGCTTCATCAGTACTGAAATTCGTGGTTAAGTGTTTTTAGGAGGTGTTGTTGTCTTTTAACAGCATATGGATAAATAAATATATCTCAGATAACATTATGTTCTGCAGCTTGTGCTGTTCTGTAGTTAGGATTTGCTTTTTAAACTATGTTAGTATAGCTAGCTTATACAACAGAAAGCTTCCTGCTTGTGCCATATCTGCATGCCTTGCCTCTATCCAGAAATAAGGGCCTGGTTAGACTGAAGCTGCTTACACACTGTCGTTTCTTGGGAAATGCTGCAATTTGATTCATTTCCTCCAAACCAGCTTCAATCTGAATTAAGAAAAAGAACGACTAGCATTTTAAACTGATAATGCATACACAAGCTGAATTGCTGAAAGTCTTGCTTTCTTTAGTACAGTACATTGTAACCCTATTGTGCAAATAAAACATGCATAATAAAAGAATGAAATGAAACGGAAACAGCCTGTAAATGCATGCTTCCCTCTGTCTAGCCCATCTCAGGGAGCATGCCTGGAGCTTTAAAGTAGTTGCTGGGTTGCTGTATGTAGTTCAGGTGTGGAAAACCTGTGGCCACACAGTTTGTGTACTAGCCCTCAGAAGAGAACAGACATCGGGTCTACCCCAGCCAAATGCAAAACCCTGTAACACCTGGATCTAATGCACTATTACAACTAACTACTCGTAAAGAGCAAATAACACTTCCATCCAGGTGAACAGCTTGTTAGTCTGAGCTGCTCAAGCCACCTTCTGGTATATAGATACCAGTAAAATCTAGGCTGACTCTTCTTGATGATCTGCAAGTTTGATTGGAGATGTCTTACCTTGTGTGGTCTCCAGGTTGCCTTCCTTTAGCTCACCCATCATGGTGTTTGCTGTTTTCCTTGCCCTTGCTTTGTCCAAAGGGACATCTGCTCTGGGGGCCCCAGTGGGGCTGGTATAACTCAGCCCAATCTGCAGCATCCCTTGTCCTTGCTCGAATGACCTGGTTGAAGCTTTGCTCCTGTGCCTCATTTATTGGGCCCGAGGCCACCTGTGCAGCCAGCTCCTCCCCGACGGAGATGCTTATTTGGTGTAAACACTAGTAAAATGTTCCCCCACCTACTCACTCATTCATGCCTGCCATATGCCTCTCTGACAAGCAGGATGTAAATAGGCAAGATACTGATCAAAATATCACCAGGACCATTAAAAAGGCTCATTTATTTTTCCAAGGGTAAACTTTATTTCCCTGTGTGGTCCTTGCAATATCACAAGAAAACGAGTCCCATGTGTACCAGAAAAACAAACATACCAATACTGTATACAGAGGAGAGGGGAGGGGAAGTAGGGGTGTCTCTCGATTTCTCTCCTTGTTTAAACGTCCTTGAAAGGATGGAACATAAACAACAGAACTGGCTCTCCAACTGCTTCCTGCTGGTTCCTTTGTTTCTACTTGAAGATAGAAATAGAATCATGTGAACAGTGAATGCCAAGTGTTTTAACTGACGAAGCTGTGAGGTTCAGAGTGTATAAAAACAAAGGGGGAAGCTTTTATAAATGTACCACAGAGCTACACTGGGGAGGCCTTTTGTTTACACAGGCTGCATACACACGACACCTTTAAAGCACATTCAAAGCTCATGCCTTCCCTCAAAGAATTCTGGGCACTGTAATTTGTTAAGGGTTGCTGGGAATTGTAACTCTCTGAGAGGTAAACTACAGTGCCCAGAATTCTCCAGGGCAAAGAATGTAATTTCAATGTTCTTTAAAGGTACATGTATAAACAGTTTTAATTTTGAGTGGAATATAATAAGCACAGGGCTGTTGTTTGAGTTTTGTCTAACCTAGGAAAGCAGGACAAGTTCTGAAGTGACTGCTATACTTGCACTGAGAAAGAAGGTGGGACTGTTAAGATGGGAATATAGTAATTGGGAATTATTCTCCATCAGAGAATAATCTGTGTAATACATCAATCTGCAGGTTGTACATATGCATAAATAAACCATGTATCATAGAGATACCACAGTCTCTGCTGTCCCTCATTCTGAGGAAACCAAACCCTGGGTACTTGCATGAAACCCCTGGAATCTGGATTAGGGTAGTATGCAACAGTATTCCATCCCTCCTCATCACAGCACAACCTTCTCCCTGCAAACATTTTTAAACCATTCATTTCTAGCCCTAGAGCTGATCAGAAAAGCACAGTCTGGTATATGTCTGTGCCTTTAACAGCATGTTAATTGGCTGAGCATTTCACAGCCTGTAGAGATAAACATTATCATCTTCTAATTTTTCTAGATCAAGCTGATGTTAAGAGAACACGAATGAGACTAGTTAAATAAAAGTGGCACTTGTTGCTACCTAATGGCCCCAAACAATGAAACTAATTTCTGCCCCACACGTTCTTGCTTCTGCAGCCAGTGGCGTAGCGTGGGGGGGCTGGCCGCACCGGGCGCAACATCTGGGGAGCGCGCGCTTGCACTCTCAGCTCTCTGCCCCTAGGGCAGAGGGGGCGCAAATTACTTGCCTTGCCCTGGGTGCTGACAACCCACGCTACGCCACTGTCTGCAGCTACACTCTTGAGTTGCATCATGTGCATCCTGACCTGTTGCATGTTTACTCAGAAGTAAGTGCCACTGACCAAGCCTACGTTGATAAGAGTGCCAAAATGCATTCTTCCTTGCATATTCTTGACATGCAGCAATCTGGAAGATTGCCTTCTTCTAGATGAATCGAAGCAAGCCAAATGGAGGTGGATAAAAAGAACTAATTAAAGAATTGTGAGCAAGGGATCACTCTTTCTTAAAATTTAATGGGGAAGAAATGAAATATGCAGAGGCCCCACTCCCTCCCAATGAGGAATGCAGCTGAACATGATGAATATTTCATGATTACTTCATGTCAAATGTGCAAAGACAGGAATTGAGTCCAGCATCTTCTTCAATCCACTTTGCTAAAGGGTTCAGAAAAGTGAAGCGGAAACAGAAAACTGCTGCATGGTGTGTTAAGACCAATTCTACTACAAGGGAGAGAGAGAGAGAGAGAGAGAGAGAGAGAGAGAGAAAAGATACTACTGCCACTAGCAGAGTAATCAGTTGATCAGTGTTTCATGATGTACGTGTCCTGACAGTGGCATGGAGAATCCAGTGGGCTTGGTTGTAGGAAGGATACAGCCCAATGCACATTTATGGAAAGTAATGAAGCAAGCCTAACAGGGACATATGCAGCCTGGCCAAGGTGGAAGCCAGGAGGGGGCATAGTTGGGTATGTAGTTTCCACAATTGCCCCTGCTCTTTCAGGACCTCACAATGATTATGGCCAACAGCAATAATAGTGTGTGCTCTACCATGCTTCCTATGGGTGCAGTGTAGGCTTCTGCAGCAGCAAAGCCCCCTCCCCACAAAGTCCAGTGCACACTGGGTTAAGGATCTGCTTATCTTATTGAATTCAGTGAGACTTAACTTCTGGGTAAAATAAGATTGGGTAGCTAGCTTGGGACAAGAGCCTTGAATGATACCATTCTACTGTGCTGTAGTGTTTAGAGTGTTGGACTAGGACCAAGGAGATCTAGGTTCAAATTCCTAGTCATCCATCAGGCCTTGAAGGTTGGCCCACCAAACTGTTTTAGGCAAATGACGTGCAGCTTTCCTAACCTGACATCACATATTAAATCAGGCACATGAAAGTTCAAGCCACTGCTTGAATTTTCAAGCCCAGGCTAAAAGGAAGAACCAGTGCTTCCTGTTGTTGCATTGCATGAAAAAGTTGGTCTTTTTGAATATGGTACCTTTTTCTGTGGGTTTGCACAGCCTAAAGGAATGGAGGGATAAAAATAGAATGAATAAATCATGCTCAGCATGGATTCATTGAGTTGGTTTGCACATAACACTAAACCATGGTTTTAATGGTAACCATAATTAAAGCTGAGGCATCAATCACTTAAATATTGTTTATTATATCATAGAGCAATTAAAAGCACCAATGATAACAGCTGAGCCTTGGAAGGGTTTGGAAAAAAAATTCATCACCCTTTAGTCACAGTTCTGTAGCTTTTGGGTAGTGGTGGCTCTGTAGGAAATGTATACTTTTTATGCCTTCTATAATTTCCTTTTTAAAGAGGTGGTTACATGTAACGCTAAGCTATGATTAACATTAACGAAGGTTTATGAACCAACTACAAACATTGTTTAATGGGCAACCTTTAAACATAGTTAATAAACAATAGTTACTCTGCTGGGCTGGATTTACACAGAGCACTAAGCCATGGCTTAATAAACCATAGATTAATGGACCATGGTTTACATCACTATGTGCAAACCATTGTGTGACCTTGGGTGTGTCATAATCTCTCAGGTTCAGCTTTCAGTGTAAAAACTGATGAGTAAAATAAATACTGTCATTTAACTCATGAAAAGGGCACCAAAGATTTTTCTTCTTGTGGTTGATGTGTCTATTGTTATTGTCAAGTGAGTAAACACTCGTTCTGGATTAATCATGCCTCTCCTGTCCTGTGAAGCTTAATCAGCATCCTGCCCTTTGTTTAGCAAAACTATTCATCCTGCATTCTATAAATTATGATGGACATGCAAAGGAAAAGCTTCACTGTTTCTGTGATTCCAGGGATGTGAGTGTGAGAAAAAATCATTTATTGAAGAATTAATGAGGAAGAGCAGGGAAGTCCAAAAATGGACTGACCAGAAAGAGCTCCTTGCAAAAGCCAGTAAACAGTATTCTCCTATGTTAAGAAGACAAGATAATTTTCAAATCAAGTCTCCCATTATCAAATGGCTCTCCAGATAAATATTACATCCCATTATTTTAGTCCTTAGAACTATTTTGCCTTCCGCTTGCTATTTCCTAAGTGCTGCTTACTGATTTTATGCTGTCGGGTGGTTTCATGCTGCTTTTTATTAACTTTGAGCTGGCAGTGCTTTTCTGCATGGATTGTTCTTAGTCCTGTACTTGCATTTTATTGATTTTCAATTGTGAACCATCCAGAGCACACAGCCGATTGTGTGGTACAGAAATGCCTAAATAAAACAAAATGAAGGTTGTTTATGAATACATGGAGGAATAGGAACACACCAGTCATGAATTCAGTTCAGAGGGAGGATCAGGTAAAGGAAGTGGATTAAGATTGCTGGGCTTCAATTGTCAAACTGGGAGATGCTGGTTCAAACAATCTGTTGTCAGCTATCAGGTCAATAGGCCTAGCCTCCTTCTTGATAGAGGTGCTGTGCGGTGCTATTTACATCTAGGAGGCGGCTCATAGAAGGTTTGTTGAATAGTATGAACCACCTTTTGTCATCTAGCTCAGCACTGTCTACACTAGTGATGGGTAACCAGCGACACACCCCCCCGACTCATTTCAAGTGCCCCAGCAGATGCTGTGGGCCCACTCTTGATCTCTGGACCACACTGAGCAAGAGAGGGAGAGAGAAGTGAAAGAGTTACAAGCCTGCCAGCTCTGCCCTCTTTGGGTTTTGGTTGCATCTACCATTAGCTGCAAGCCTCCTGCCCTATAGATTTGTCCTGTGGGTAAATGGGTGCGGAAAGCTCTTCACTGTGACTGGCAGACGCTCTCCATAGCTTCAGACAGAAGTCTCTCCCAACCCTTCCTTGAAATATCAGGATTTGAACCTGGGGCCTTCGGCATGTAAAGTACGGTAGGTGCTCTATCCCTGAGCTACAGCCTTCCCTCACAATACAAGTAGCAACTTCAGATGAATATGTTTTGTTGAGACCATGACAGGGAGGGAGAGTTAAGGTCCCTTTCCCTTTCTCAGGCCATGATCCTGATCAAAGGTCCTCATGGCAGCTTCCCCCCCCCAGTGCAACAACTCATTTACTGTAACATGGAGTGTGGCTGTAAGTGTAAAATACTTTGTACAGTGGTACCTTGGGTTAAGAACTTAATTCGTTCTGGAGGTCCGTTCTTAACCTGAAACTGTTCTTAACCTGAAGCACCACTTTAGCTAATGGGGCCTCCCGCTGCTGCCGCTGCGCCGCCACTGCACGATTCCTGTTCTCATCCTGAAGCAAAGTTCTTAACCTGAAGCACTATTTCTGGGTTAGCGGAGTCTGTAACCTGAAGTGTATGTAACCTGAAGCTTATGTAACCTGAGGTACCACTGTACACCCTAAAGCAGTTGCTTTTACTTGTTTACCTATTTCTAAAGCATCAGCAAAATAACATAGATTTACCTTACTACAGGGAATAAGCAATGCGATGGGAATGCTGCAAGAAGGTGGCGGCAGATGCCAAAAAATGTGAACTGAGGATATAGTTCACTTCTGTAAACATTGCTGCTGTTAAACTCTTGACTGGTTGCTTTCAAGCACCAGGGGGATGCCAAAATGCCCTGTTAATGATTATTAACTTCTTGATTGTCATGAATGTACTTAAGCAGACTGCCACATGATGATACGATCAAGCTGAAACAGGAGGCTTACTGAAGATAAGGTGCGAGAGTTTCACATACAAAGGGTATTTGACACCCATGATTTAATAGGCATCCATTTATGCTTGTTTAACCCTTTTCTGTGCTCAGTGACTGGCATAATGCACCACTTCCATCCACCATGAGGACTACACACTCTACTCTGAACACACACAACAGGAACTTTTTTCAGTGTACAACCCCCTCCATGGCCTACTGCCCCCCCTTTTCACATGGAGCTAAGATCTTTGCATGGGACATTTCTGCCATGGATGGCTGTAAATGTTAAGTTTATATGTGTTGAAAACTCTTATTGCAGAATTATTAAGGAATGCCAATATTATTCATTATTTAACCCAGCCTTCATCGAAGGAGTTCAGGATGGCATACATGGTTCTCCCCTTTTTACTCTCACAACAACCTAATAATCCAGGACTGTCCCATACAGGGCAACATGAAAAGGTACTGAATTGAAAAAGAAGCAGATTTTTTAATTCACAGGAACAATCGGGAGCACAGTGTGTGCTCCCGATTCTTCATTACAGCTGTTGCTTGAAGTTTCCTACAGCTAAGGACATAAATGACATCAGGCACAGGAAAAGGTGGCTGTGGCCTAACGAAACCTCTGTTGTAATGTAAGGTAGGTTGGGATATAATCCACCCTGTAAATTTTCTGGTTGTGTGGGGATCTGAACCCAAGCCTCCCCAGTCTAAGTCCACAGCAGTGACTCTGAAGCTTCAAGTGATCAGAGTAGGATATGCTGTTTGCAACTAATGAATTGTGCAATCCTCTCCTGTATCTCTAACCTGTGCATGTTTTCATAGATGCCAGTCCTACAGTTCAATGGGATTTAATCCCAAGTAAGTATACATAGGATTTCAGCCTTCAGTGATATCTGGATGCTAACCACTCTTAATGCACAACATACGGCTGTGTTTGAAGCAATAAATTTGTTTATTCTTTTGATGCATGAGCATCAAATAATCCTTGTAAGCATTTCTTCTGCCTAGTATTATCACTTTAAAAAACAACAACAGTGCCTTTGATAACAGCTTGATGCACATAAATTGAGCAGGAGATAAAGTAATGTTAGGCTATTGTCAACAGGAGGGGAACTGGGAGGAGGGTGGAAGTGGCACTCCTACTGCCTTTCTGAAATCATCAACTCTCCTCCTTTCTTCTACAAAGCATTTGGGGACTCATCAAAGTTTAACTAGAGTGGTGCCATATGGTACATGTTAAGGACCTTCTTTCATACTCCCTATTCCTGACCCACATTTAGTGAACTGTGCCCACTCCCTTAGTCTTTGTCCTGTCCCTTTATCAACTCTATTTTTGTGTGCACTGCACCAGCCACACCACCTAACAGAAAACAAACAATGTCAATATATTTTTATTAATTGGCACAATAATGTTATCTTTCTGCAGGGCTGGTTAGTAGCAATAGTAAATTATCAAAAAACAACAACATTTATTTGTGTTTAGTTTTCTATTACACACACAATTTTTTTTATTAATGAACATAAATTTTCTTCTCTGCAGCAGTTTGCAGCTCACAATTATTACAGCAGCATAAGTCAAATCATATTTATGATTTGGGACACACTTTACATAGTTCATTGCTTTCTTCCGGCAGGGATGCTTCCTGTGCCATCACTTAAGTTTATCTCCATGCCAAGAAAAGCTTCACCAGCTAAATTTCGGCGTGCCATGCTGCTACTGAAAGCACAGGACAAGGGCCAAGTCACACTATGTATTAGCCTCTGTTATGGTGGCTGTGAGCCCTAGATTAGCAGATCTTAGCACATGTAATTTTAAAAAACAATAATAACAATTATTACCAAACAGCAATAACAATCAGGAAAGCAACATAAATGCCTCAGGACCAGAGGATAGTAGAGTCATTTGTAAAGGAGTGTTAGACCTGTCAAGAAGCAATGGAGTAACATAATTAAAAATAAGTGTGTGGCAACAATTTTAACTGATCACTCCCTTGCGTGTTTGTGATTCAAATACTGATGATGCAAGCTTTGCAGTCTCTTCAGATGTTGCAGCCTAGGTTGCCAGAAGAAAAGACAGATTGTGAAGCAAGATTGGTGTGTGTCCTGCAGAGAACTGTAGACTGAGTGGTTCTGAACTAAGAATAATCTACAGCAGAGGTAGAGCAGCTGCAACGAAGATGTTGGAATCTAACTCTAATCAGTTCCAGGCCACATGGCCAATGGCCCAGCAGCATCTGCAACACCCAGGCTCCCTGGCCCTGATCTGCAGTATTCTATGGAGCTGTGATAACATAAAAAAGAAGAAAGTTTAAAAAACTTAAGGGATATTATATAATAGCAGGGGACGCGGGTGGCGCTGTGGGTAAAAGCCTCAGCGCCTAGGGCTTGCCGATCGAAAGGTCGGTGGTTCGAATCCCCGCGGCGGGGTGCGCTCCTGTCGTTCGGTCCCAGCGCCTGCCAACCTAGCAGTTCGAAAGCATGTCAAAGTGCAAGTAGATAAATAGGGACCGCTTACTGGCGGGAAGGTAAACGGCGTTCCGTGTGCTGCGCTGGCTCGCCAGATGCAGCTTGTCACGCTGGCCACGTGACCCGGAAGTGTCTCCGGACAGCGCTGGCCCCCGGCCTCTTGAGTGAGATGGGCGCACAACCCTAGAGTCTGTCAAGACTGGCCCGTATGGGCAGGGGTACCTTTACCTTTACTATTATATAATAGCAAGATGAGCCACGTTCCTGCAAGATATAGTTGCAGTGATCGCTCTTGCATGGTCAGTGCTATCCCAAATGAGCCAGCAGGATTCGTATAAATAACAGTACAGTGGTGCCCCGCAAGACGAAATTAATTCGTTCCGCAAGTTTTGTCGTCTAGCGAATTTTTCGTCTTGCGAATTATTATTTAGACAAAGGAAACAAAGTCGCGAGACGTTTTCGTCTTGCGAAGCAAGCCCATAGGGAAATTCGTCTTGCGAGGCAACTCGCAAACGGAAAAACCTTTCGTCTAGCGAGTTTTTTGTCTTGCGAGGCATTCGTCTTGCGAGGTACCACTGTAATTCTTAGGGCTTATCCACATTTACCTTTCCTCCGCTCTTTCTAGGCATGGTCCTCGCTTTAAAGCTCCATCTCTGAGCACCTTTATTTTCCTTTTCCTTTTCTTTTTTTGCTTTGGACCTTTCCCCGTGAAAACCCACTATTTAGCACTCAATCAAAAACCCACATAAAACCCACATCTGTGTCTGCGCCGATTGAGCGCTAAACAGCGGGTTTTAGTGGGGAAAGCTCCAGGGCAAAAGCAACAGAAAACAGAAACACCACAACCACCTACCCACACACTTGGGACACTGAGCTTTACGGCTCAGACCCTTGCCTGGAAAGAGCAGGGCAAATAAGTTTGGATAAGCCCTTAGTGATTTCAGTCAGTGCCGCGAGAGCCTAACCGGGTGGCGCCAGACTGCTAGAGGACACAAAACAGGTACAGTGAATTCTGCGCTGTTAATTGTTACCAATGCAACCAATGTGCAAGTTTTCCGCGTCGCACAGAATTCCTCACCAGGCGATGCCCACGGACAAGTCGCATGTAGGCATTCAAGCCCGTATTAACGCCCTATATGTCTACATAGCTATCAACGTTTCCATTTTAAAGGGAAATTCCCTTATTCCGAATAGGATTCCTCGTAAGAAAAGGGAAAAGTTGACAGCTATGTATGTCTAGGAGGGGGAGAAGCCTTGCTGCATCGCAGAAGCTGCAGGGTGGTCCCCTTAAGCTGAGCGCGAGTTGTTGGGCAGGTTCGCGCACGCGCGGTTTCTGTTTGCCCTGCCCCTCCCGCCCTCTCCCTCTCCCTCTGTACCCGGCGCCCCTTTCTCTTTCGCTTTCAGCGACGCCCCGCCCTTCGACCCCTCCGTCGAATGCGCCCGAGGGTCGCGCTTTCCTCCGTCTCGTTGGTCGCCTGAGCCTTCGCGGACGCCGTTGTCAGCTGACCTGACTAGGAACGGCTGCAGGCACGGAACTCGGAATACAGGCTTTTTGGGTGGCCGGGCGCCGCCATGGCTCCGGACCCCTGGTAAATGGGGGGGGGGGGCGGGGCAGGTTGAAGCCGTGGAGCGTTTCCCTTCGGGGCTGCTGCCTTTGACCCAAGGGGTGGAGCGGGGGGGGGGGCTTCACTCAGGCCTGATATCGGCCAGAGAAGGGCAGGCGCGTCCTGCCCCTTCCACTTAATGCTAACCGGGCGTGGGCAGCCTGAAGGCGTAGTGCTGCATACCGCCTCTCACCTTCCGCCTTGTTAAGGCAAGGATGGGGAGAGTTTGACCCTCCAGGTGCTTGTGGTAGCCTCCCCCCCCCGCACACAATTCCTGTCACCTCAGCCAGCATGGCTAATGGTTAGGGACAGTGGGAGTGGCAGCCCAGAAACGCAGCACCCCTTTTCCACCTGCAGTACAGTACAGTGGTACCTCGGGTTACATACGCTTCAGGTTACAGACTCCGCTAACCCAGAAATAGTGCTTCAGGTTAAGAACTTTGCTTCAGGATGAGAACAGAAATCAGGCTCCGGCGGCGCGGCAGCAGCGGGAGGCCCCATTAGCTAAAGTGGTGCTTCAGGTTAAGAACAGTTTCAGGTTAAGAACGGACCTCCGGAACAAATTAAGTACTTAACCCAAGGTACCACTGTATGAGGTTTCTCCTCCTCTGTCCTCACCATTCTTCCCTCCTATCTCCTTCCTCTGTAATCAGTTGTGGGGCTACTGCTGTAGAGATGGGAGAATTTTCACAGGTGCAGCTTCTTCCGCCTTGGTGCTGTGGCAATAGAAGACAAAAAAGCCTGCACCTAGCGTGGATACAAAGGAAGGGTTGTACTTGGATAGTAGCATAACAGAGAGAATTTACACATGTGTAGCTTTTCCTTGTTTTATTATTATTTTATTTATGATTTTCAGTTTTGTACATTTCAGTAATTTTACAATCATTTCAACATTGCAAAACTGAACTTCCCTCCACATTAACTTAATTTACTCATTTATTCATCTACTTTAAATATATACTCTTATAAAACTGCAGGTTATTACAATAATCCTGTCAAAGTTCTCATATGTTTACAGTTTATTTGTAAATATTCAATAAACCATTTCCATTCTTTTATAAAATTTTTGTTATCTTGATTTCATATTTTTCCAGTAAATTTCACCATTTAGGCATATTCCATAAGTTTTTGTATCCATTATTCTTTTGCTGGGACGACTTCTTTCCATCCCCCCCCCCCAGCTTTTCCCCGTTTGATTCCTCCTTTGATACGGCAAGTGCTTAGGTGTAATATAGTTGTACTACTTTGCAACAGAAGGAGACAAGTTTCTCTTCCGTTAAGCACCCACACTTCTTTGTAGTAGACTCAATCTGTTTTGGGGATGGGAATTCCCTAACCTGTTTGCCTATTATGAGATATTTAGATAGAATGAATTAAAAAACTAAATATATTATATGTTCCTTGTGCTGGATAAAACACTTCTGGTTAAGACTTTTGCATTGTGCTTGGGATACAAGGCAATGCTCCCCAAGTTTGACAAGGGATTGGAATTCTATTCAAGATAGCTTGCTTTACTTGAACAGGGATTATTACCAAGGGAATAACAATAGCAATAAATACCTCAAGTGAGATGCTTTATTTTTTCTTTAGGTTGACTGACTGTATGTTTGCATATAATTACTGTGAGAGGGGGAAGTTGACCACAGTGTTTGCACGTGAATTCAGTGTAGCACTAAGGAGATTGCTCAGTCAGCACAAGCCTCTCCGCTTGTCTAATGGAACAATATTCTTCCCCAGTACATTGTGCACAGTGTTTAAAACTCCCATTGTTCTAGGTGCAGTACTGTGCCTAAGATTTCAGATTAAAACTGCAGAGTGGAAGGAAAGGAGGACCTTTTTCTGCCTCCCCACTTCCAGCTACTCTCTGAAGACTGGAGAAGAGACCCTCTTAAAAATATTAGGGGGTGGGTAGGGGAAGGACTAGACCATGTGAAAAATGAATATAATATTTTAGCTGCAGTTCATTCATTTTCAGCTTTGTTTGTATTCTTATAAAAAAGTGTGCCTAGACATTACATTGTTGGGCCCATAATCTAGGTTTAAGGTGCCATTTAGCTCCTAGCTTTCATATCTGTTTCAAACACTGATTGTACATTGTTCCAGGGATTCTCTTGACCCCTGAGCAGATTTGAGAGGTGGGGCCTTGTTGCCCCCTAGGCTCATTTGGAGGAAGGGTGGAATAGAAATAAAATATCTTACCTTGGTGCTGTTTGTGAATTGTGATCATGTGCTAAAAATCCTCAGTGGTGTTTTAGCATCCTGTGGCTTGTTACTTGCTAAAACTTGGTGGCAATTAATATACTGGCTTCTCTATAGGATGTTTGTTGGGATAGCTTCCTTAGCTATGCTCTGAATTTGGAGGAATTTTTTAATGTATAAGCTGTCCATATTTGTTTTATTTCTTGTTTCCATCTATAGACTGCTTTACTACCTTAAATATCTGAAAGCAGTCTACATATACAGTATGTTCCACAAACCACATCAAATGATTTGCACCACAAAATACATTTAAAAAATCCATAAACATAATATTAAATCAGAGTGAACTACTAGGCAGTATAATATAAAATTTCAAACAGCACAGCATTTGTGCAATCATTCATTCAATCTCACTCACCATCCATTTCACACAACCACTACAACCATTTGCTACACCAAACATTACCTCTATCAGTTACTCATACTTTCAACCCACACACAAAAGGTCATTGCCAAGCATACACAATAAGATACACTTCTAATACATGAAGCAGTATTGGACTTGTGTCCCACTCTCACTGAACGATCTAATACTCATCTCCCACCTCTCCCTGGAGTGAGCCCAGGCTCTCACCCTGGAGGGTATAGAACTATTTCCATCCATGCACTGCCAGCTATGGAATCATAACATGCATGGTGCTGCATAACCTCAGAACCTAACACAGAAACAATCAGCTTGACTTGAAATAGGCATCTTTATGGATCATGGGGCAGTGGTGAAAGATTGAATATTTTGATGAACAATAAGGGCAGAAATGTATGTATATTAGTTAAAATATATTAACTTGTTTTAGGTTGTCGATGTATGAATCCACTTGCCATACTGCCCAAGAGGTTGCTGAAAAAATTCAAGAACGCAATCGATGTCAGAGGAATGGTGAAAGTGCAACTAAGGTACTGCATAATTCATGGACCACCTTCCAGCTTTGCTTTACCTTCTCTCACATCTTTTAAAGATCAGCAGCCAGTGTCCTCTTGACTGAGCAAGCTGTGTGCACCTGAAATCTATTGAAAGGTAATCTTGGTAGCTGCCTTATAACACTGGAGCTCCTATCCTTAAAAACAAACAAAAAACGAGGCACTACACTTCTGTAAAACAAGAAAATCCTTAATAAAATAATAATAATAATAATAAAAAGACTCATCAGATTCTTTGGGGCTGAGTGCTCTAACAGACCAAGCTTGTAGAGATTAGTAACTAGCTATTTTATTCTGTCCCCACTCCTCCGCATTGGCCTGGATTTGTAAATTATAGTTACCTATTTTAAGTCCTAATGACAGAGTGAGATAAAAATTGGAATAAATATTTTTGAAACAATAATATTTTGTTTGGTTTTGTAAGGGTAGGATACAGACTATGATATCAGTTGGAAAGAGGATGCTCTTGATGTAAGATAACCACCTCTGTCTCAGAACATAAACATGGCACTTTGAAACTGTATTGTTGTCAGGTAAAATGAGTGAGCTGGACATTTGCTGCAGTTCTTTTACCTCTTAGTCACGTCATTGCTTTCGGCTGTCCCCTGAGAGAAGGCAACAGCACCAGAACAAACCCAGTGTTGGGACAAAGCAGAGGTTCTCATTTCCATGGTATTATTAATCCTGAAATAGGGAAGCTAAGCCATAGCTGTCAGGTAAAGGCCCAGCTCAGGTCAGAAAATATTCAGTAAGCTGGACTGAAATGACTTGCTTCATGTAAAATTGCAAAATCCTTTACATCCTTTCAGATGATAGGAGAATCCAGAAGGTATGGTGAGCCCTAATAATTTAGGGCTACTTCACATGCAGCATTTGTTTCACAAAGCTGTGTTTCACTTAGTAGATACCTGAAGTATGAAAGAAAGATGCACATCTTGAAATGTGTGTCTGTGACTAGAGCAGTGACCAAGTGCAGATGTGTCAAGGCCACCTATTGTTCCTTTGCACTCTCCCCATACTGTTCATGTTACAAAATACACTGCTCAGTAGACGAATGGTTCCCTGAAGAAAACTTTCCATGTTTGTACGTGAGTAGAATTGCAGGCACTTGCTCAGTGAGCAGGTAGGAAGCCAGCATTTGAGTCCAGTGTAAACAGGCTTCCAACAATTGCAATATTTATTGCCATAACAACTGATGTTATGGGCTGATGTTGAAAAACATTAAGCAGCTCAGTCATGTTGTCTGTGGCCAGGGAATGTTTTAATGAAGAAAAATGTTCTTTCCCCATGTTTGCCAAGTAGGGGAAATGTCATCAGTGTCTTGTTTTTCTGGGATTTTGCCACTTTCATGCGCTTAGACGTTTTTTTAAAAATGTGGTGAGAAAAAATCAAGCATTTCTATTGCCTCCTGAATGAGAGACAAAAGAAAACTTACTCTTATTCCTAGTCCTTCCCCTCCTCATCTCTTTGCTTTGTTGGTAGTTAATACTTAGTGTGAAAGATTGGAAACATTCCTCAGTAAAATGTATACATTTTTTTAAAAAATGTGGAAAGCAAATGTAAGTCCACACTGGACACAAATCTCTCAAGAATGTTTCCCTTATGAATTACAGTAACATAAGAACACAGTTAGGTGGTTGCACAAGTCTTATAGTTAAAACTGGTCTTGTTTTGCAGAAATGAGCTAGTGGATTGTGACTTCAAACTGAAAACTGTTTGTTTTCTTAACCTCTTCCAACCACTTTGCCCTGATGTAGCAAGTCTGTATTCCTAAGAAGTTAAGATTTATTTGGAAGTAAATCCCATTTTAAAAAATTAGTGGGCATTACATCCAAGTAAACATAGTGTAGGGGCGTTAGTGAAATTTGCCATCCACCCCTTTTTTGCTTTTAAATCAAATGTGTACGTGAGACAGGGCTAATGTTTCTATTGTTGTTCTACAAGACAGTGGACGGTCGTGGGAGCTGCTAGTTCTCAAGGAATTGTCACCTAGGAAAGGTCCTGTGAGTGGATGGTATTGCTTCATTACCTTGGATTAAAGTGACATGAAATTCTGGGGAGTTCCTGGACTTTAACAGGGTTAGCTGTCAGCTTATGTCACCTTAGCAATACTTGCTGCTCTTTGACTTTCAGTAGATTGCCTCAAGAGTGCGCTTGAGATTCTGACCCAGAATGAAGTCCTTGATGAATGCTTAGCACCACATTCCCCACAAATTACCAGTTCCCTGTGGATGGATGTAGTGTAGCCCTCTTCTGGTCATTCTCTGTTCCCAAGATGGTTGGCATTCTTTACCAGGCTGGCAATGCAGGGTCTACTGCGGCTCCTTGGCACTATAGTATTGTTACAAGGGCTGACTGTTGCTCTTTGATTAAAAAAGGATAGGGTTTCTTGCTGGATCCTAAGGGTGGGGGGAATGATCTAACTTGAGTGGTCTTTTCCAAGCCTGTTGTGTATAGCTGGCTTCCTTTTTCATGAATGTCTTGCTTTTTGAAAGCTGTAGAAGGCATTGGCTCACAAAAGCAGTAGTTTAACTGGAAATCAGTGGGGCCAAAAACACATAAGTTTGTAAGTGCACCTTCCGGTTAACTGTCTGGAGTTCTAATAGGATTTTTTTAAAAAAACTATCCTACATAGGTAACTCTTCTCTACTTTGATGGGGTAATAATGAACTATACTCTGTTTTTATTTGCTTATTTCTATGTGTTTCTGGATGGTCTCTTCTGCAAATTCAATGCAGCACTGATGAGCTGATCTCACGTATTTCCCTTTTGCTCTTGTCTCCTTTCAGCTCAATGTTTCCATCAGGTCACTGTTGCAAAACCTCAAAGAAAAGACCGAGCGTCTGAAGGACCTCTTGCTTCACTCTGTATCAACACGTCAGATGTATCCATGTAAACAGCTGTATACCAGGAAGGCCAGTGAGACAAGAGTGGGTCAGCATTCTGTTTTGGAAAAGGAACGAGACCATTAAATTATATCTTTGTGTTTAGAAAATCCCCAGCAACTTGGGAAAAACCCAGGTACAAAAGAAATGTTTGCAGTCTTCATTTTATTTCCAGGGTTTGTTCTGTATGTGCAAGCACTTCTTCAAGGCACTCCTAACTAAATGGGCTGCAGCAAATGTTGTGTCAGATCCAACTGGAGCCCACTTTACACACGCAACTGAATGGGCTGTGTAAAGCTGTGCCCATGTGGTTTTATTACAAGTCGATGCTCACTTAGGTAGTTGCATGTGTGAGTCTGAATTCTGCTATAAGTAGTTGCACAGTTATGACTTTTGCCACCTTGCTGTTTGTTTTTAAAACGTTCCATGTGTCTTATAGACTTATAAAATGAGGTAAATGTTGTAAAGTACTTTTTACACATGGAAAAGTGTTATAAAAATGATAGTAGTCTGTCGTCAGTTCTCTGCCTAGGACAAGATAACCTCATATCCTTATTTAGTCATAATAGAACTTAGATATTTTTTAACTCTGGCCTCTCCAGTATAGATCTAGTATGTTTTTTCCTGTACTGATAGGTACGCATGTGGTTCTTCCTGACTGGATAAAGAAGTCATAACTTACTTGATTTGTGATTTAATACCAAAAGTATGAGGTCTAGATGTTCAGTCATTTGTTTCTGTAAATCAACCTTAACCCAGTTCCTGCAGAACACAACTTGAAGGGGACAGGCGGCAGAACTTAGTGGATGACCTCCTCACGCGACATCGTCATCTTCAGGCATCTTTCAAAAATGAGGGGACAGAACCGGATGTGATAAGGTACAGTTATAAATGAGAAATGCATGAGAGTAGCTCTCTCTTGAGCTATGAAGCACCAGTGTACCTGTACCCCAGGAATCATCCTGATGACTGGTCATATTGGCTGGGGCCTGTTGGGAGTCCAACAACATCTGGAGGGCCACAGGTTCCCTGCCTCTGCTGTACCTTATTTTCACACAGACCCCTCCTGTTTTGTGTGTGACCAGTTATGCTCCCCTTCAGGATATTGTTTTTCATGTATTCTCTGAGTACCTTGACCAGGTACCCAGACTTGATGGAGCATCTGCACTCAGAATCGAATAAAAAAATTGGAGCTGAAGGTTGCATCAAAGCCAGTCATGCTAAAAGGCTGAGTGTCTTAAGTGATTCAGAGCCAAGGTCAAGCCAAAGCAGACTTTAACAGAGATGGGCTCAGAAGCCACGCAAGACAAAACTTCACATCACAATGGCCACAGAAAGCAAACGTGTATTGGAATGTAAGAGTCATATGGTGTCAGGGATGGATGAGGGAGTTAAATGAGAAATAAAGAGATAGTTGCACATAGTTTGTCTAGGCAGGGTGGTTTTGTGTCCTTAGGGCACAAGCCAGGAAAACTGGCCAATCAAAAGAAAGGCAGTTATGTGGTCCAGAGCTACAGGGGGATCTATGGAGTGGAATTTCCCAGCAGTACATACCTTGTCCTTGCAGTGTTGCTCTGGACTGTGAATAAGGGAACTATAGAGATCTATGCCTTAAGAAAACCAGTCACACTACAAAATTTGGAAGGAGAAGCGTGGTGGTACATAGTATTGGTCTTGCAAATTGGTTCAAGATGTGCTTTTTACATTACATTGATGCATCTTTTAGTAATATTTAATGATTATATGCTAACATTAATGATGATATTCTGATTAATTTCCCGCTTGTCCTAAGCTAAAGGGAAAAAAGAAGCAACATAAATTTTGAAAATGATTCCAGCTGCTGGTTGGGTTTGGATGACCTATCCCATTCTCTTTTTATATCTTCTATACAGAAGCTTGAAATAGTTAAAGTATATATGTATCACCCAAGACATTTCAGGTGGAGGAAATGTGTTTTGGATTGCCTGTGTTGTTGAAAGAGGAAACTCTGGAAGAATGTCTAATCGATTAATTGTTTTTCTGGCCTTGTAATCCCTTGGCAAGCAGTGCAAATCCTTCCAGCTCTCCTGTGTGCTGGATTTTGTATTTAGCTAGTTTAACTCAGCATGAGAAATCAGTCGGGCAGTGCTTTCCATGTTGATGGATTATCTGAGTTGAGTCGTCGTTTATTTCATGCTCCAGCAACAGCATAAAGTGAGCCTATGCAACATTGTCTTGGGAATTTCAGCACTACTGAATTGCCACCAGGAGGAGCATGCAACTGTTGCTTCCTCCGTCCCTGAACCTACAAATACAAATTGCACCGTAAACAAGATTCCTCTTACATTTCAAGTTTTTTATAATTTCCTTTCCTATCCTCACCTTTCTGAAACAAAAATAAATGAAATATTGGGGACGTTAGTGTGCCAAAAAAAGGTGGATGGCGGTTAGAAACTGCTAGTGCTAGAATTATTGTTGGCTATGGAAATTTCTGTGGATTTCTCTTGGCCAGCCAAGAATCTCCAGAGCTGTAACTCTTAGCTTTGCATGTGTATTTTAAAAGAAAATGTATTCCAACTTGAACCTGATAGTTAGATCTTTCCAATCTGGCTGTAGTTGCTGTTGAGCTATGGCTCCTCCCTTAGGGGTCTATAATTATTGCTATTTTTCCCTTTAAAAAGCCCAACCATTCTCTATTGCAAGCCAAATTCTATTTCATCATGCCCATGCATATTTCTATTTTCATATTTTCTTTTCAGAATTTAGAAGTTGTGTGATGTGTGTGTGGTTGGATATAGTGGGGTCATGGCAGTTTGGTCTTACTCTGAGTAGGCATTCTGTTTCTTCCTGTTCCTATATGCAGGCTTCACTCCTTAAAGTACACCCCACATTTTCAGGAGATTTTTTTCGCACTTCTTCCTCCACCACCCACCCCCGTCCTATCCCGTAGTCATCCCCTTCATTAACCTTCTTGCATCAGTGATCACATGTCTTATTGTCCTCATGGTGTGCAATTGTGAAAGCATTCTCAAAATTAATCTCCGTTTACGTTTGGTCACCATTCAGTGAGTTTACATCCTTTGAAATCTGCTTTAATGCGAGTGCTCTTGGTGTGGTACAGTGGCCTTAGTACTTCTAATTCTTATTTTAAGTGACAACCTGGGCCACGATACAGATCAAGGCATTGCTTTATGAGGCACCCAAGTAGCTTACCTTCCGGCATTGTCAGACTTAATTAGGACACAGTTCTCAGTATCCGAAAGGGTTTGTGCCATTTGCATAGCTGCTTCAATGCAGTTATTTCTCCCGACCCAAACCATTTTATTCAATTGCCTTTAAATTAACCATGCAATATCCGAATGTGAAGAAGACTTGTGTATCTTACACGTAGAATGCCAATTTCATGAACCATCCTAGAGATGTCATTAGGGGCAAAGCCAAGGTCCAGGAAATTGTGAGATATTAAACTTAATGTTTTCCTTGTGTCCAAGTAGACGGTGATCCCTTTGCTGGACTCCTAATCAGAGAATCTATTAAATGGATGAAGTTGTAATGAAATGGAGATTGATATCCTGTAACAGAGTAGAAGGCAAAAAGAGCAAACCCACCCACTTCCTGCGAAAATAATAATGCAGCTTTTGCTAATGCCGAAAGTGAACCTGTATGGCAGGGCATTCATAATGCAGTTTGAGAAATGTCCCCATCTCTAGCTTTCAGTAGCTGCAGTTGTGGGAGGTGTCACTGGAAATATGGAGAGTGCATTGCTACCCTGGTAAAAGGAAATAAAATGAAGAGGGTGATGAAATGATGCATGTCACCTGTAGGAAGCTAGCATCTTCCTAAACTGAAAACCCTAACTAATGCTAGCCACAGTCGTGATTAAAACCATCTGCATGGGAGCTTCCTTCTTCTTACACAGCTAGCATAGAACTGTAGAAATGTCTTCCACCCTTGGACCCTGGCCAGACCTCAAGCTGAGCATCTTTCAGCAGTGCTGAAAAGGCTTCCTTGTACATGGCTTTTGACTGGCGCTTAATATTTGTATCATGTATTTTGAATTACCTATTGTGTGTGTGCTTGTACATATACTAAATGTTGCAAAGCCCTTACCCAAGCCTAAGAGATGTAAGCAATGAATGGTTCTCAACAATCTGATTGCTAAGGACACAGATGACAAAATCTAGATTCAAAATTATCTTGACATGCTGGAGCATGACCAAAACTGACAAGGGAGATAAATGTAAAGTCCTGCGTTTGGGTTTAAAAATACAGGTAAAAATCAAACAGACTAGTTACAGGATGGGAGAGATTTGGCTTGACAGCAAGACATGTGGAAAGGTTCTGAGTGTCTCTGTGTGCATTGTAAGCTGAGAGAGCCAACAGGGCAGCTGCTAAAGAGGCAAATGCAATTATGAGTTATGCTAATCAAGAAAAGTAATAATGCCACTCTGTCCTGTGCTGGTCAGGCCTCATCTGGAGTACCACGTCCAGGTCTGGGTGCCACATTTTAAAAAGGAATTAGAGGAGGGTGACTCTGATAGTGATGGGTCTGGAAACATCCTGTGAGGAACATTTGAATAATCAGGCTACATTTAACCTGGAGAATAAAAGGAGGACGCATGGTTGCAGTCTTCAAATAACCGAAGGGCTCTCTTGTAGAAGATGGAGCAGACTTGTTCTCTTTTGCTCCAGAGGGCAGAACTAGAAACAGTGGGTGGAAATAGCAGGGAAACAGATTTTGGCTGTTAGAAATAGCTTCATAACGTTACATGTTGCTCAACAGTGGAACAGACGCTCTCAGGAGGAGGAGGGGCTGTCTTTTGCTGCTGATATTTAAGCTGAAGCTGGGTGGCCCCCTGTTAGGGATGCTGCAGTTACATCCTGCGTGGCAGATCCTGCATTGAGCCCAAGGGTTGGACTACATGGCCTCCAGCATCCCTTCCAGTTCTATATTCTCCTAATGTCACCTGTTGCACCAATACAGCAAATAAAATGAAAGCAGCACCCAGTACTAGGGGGAAAATGGGGAAATTCACTATATTGCCATGCAGATTGTTCCAAGGGCCTCATATCCAATGTTTTTTGGAAACCCCCAATCACATTTTACAGCAATTTATGAATCCAGATTGAAGTACTCAAAACACTTCAAATATTATTACTGTACTGCCATATTCACAAGGGGAAATGTGATTAATCACATAGACCAATGTCACATGACCTGGGTTTTTGTTTTAAAATCACTCACGTTGATTGTTCTAAGGCTTGAAAGCCTTCATGTGTGGCCATGGTCTAGGGAAAGGTCTGTTTGACTAATTTGTGTTTCTTGGGAAATTTTGTAAGAATTAACCAGTGAAACAATGCAGTTGGGAAGATAAGCTGCTGTTTGTTAAGTAGAGGCACAACCCTTGATTATAACCCTCCAGCTTCCTTTATATTTGGGCACATTGCTAAGCCTTTTAATTAGTTAAATCTGCTCCTATAATCAAAAGCTATCTGCACACTCCACTGTGCTGTGACAATTTCAAAGATTTAAGTGATTAACTTGGCAAAAGCAGTGGGTGGCTAATTGGATAAACTTTAATCTTCACACTGCCAAAATGAAACAGAGGAAGATCAGAAGAAAGAGGAAGTTGGGCTGCCCTGGGTGGGAAGAGAGCTACCAAACATGTCAGAAAGATTATTTTTAAAATGCTAGCAGGTCACTTGCCGCAACCAAAACTAGAAAGCATGGTTGGGGGTAAAACTGTGCCACTACATGACACCCCCCCTCTCTCTCATTGACATTTTCAAATGGCAAAAGGTTTTTCTCATTTGAGCTAGTGGAGCCACAGCTGTGGATTTTGGAGCAGAGGATTTGGCTAGACCATCTTCTCTTGGGAAGACTCTGATGAGAGCTGCACCTTTTTATTTTGACAACGTTTAATGGGGACTTGGGCCCCTTACAGGAGTAAAAATGTCCCCTATGGGAGTTGGCTTTTTAAAAAACACAAATGTCCCCATTATACTGAATTACACAATATTCTTGAAGCTAATGGGGGTTGTTTTGCTAAATATGAATATATTTTTCCTGCATGTCACATGCCTGCCTTGTTTGGTTATTATTACTGTGAGCTTTTGAGGCACACAGTAATAATATGGCTGGTGAAGACTAGAGGAGTACTTCAGCAGTCATTTTGCCAGCGCAGTCTCTTCAGCTTGCCAGCTAGAACGACCCCCACCCTCCCTATGGGTGCTGTTCTGGGATTTCTCTCAAACCCCCTAGAGCCATTTTTTCTTGTGGGGTGTGTGTACTCTGAGGAATGTTCTGTTGCACTAGCTGGAGCCCTTAAACTGGCTTCTGCTAGTGGAACTAGAATAACAGAATCACAGAGTTGGGAAGGGACCCCAAGAGTCATTTAGTCCAACCCCCTGCAGAGCAATTGAATCCTGACCTACTTCTTCTGTAGTAGTTTTAATTCAACTGCAAGTGAAGATGGTTTTAATTAAAGAGAAAACAAGGAGGTAAATGACCTTTAGGCTCCTTCTGTCCTAGTGAATGCGGTTGACATGTGTAACAGGTGACAAATTGAATGGCCAACTCTGGTTGAGTGGATTTAATACAGCTGGTTCCTGGGTTGTTTATTAGCTAGAGATCAATGATTTGGGTCCCCCAAATTTCATTTTATTTGGATTTGTAAACGAAGAACTGTTCTCTTTGCTAAAAAAAAAAGACCAAGAAGATGCTGTGGCATCTTAAGGCCTTGCCAATTCGTGGTAGCAGGGCCTGTCCACTTCTTCATATACCATCAGATTTGATCAATGTAAAAAAATACAGCTATCTGCTATCTAACTGATGTGTCTGGTGGATACCGAACAGGTGAGACGGCAGTTGGCTATAGAACATAGAAAAACTGCCTTATACTAGGGTAGATCATACGTTCATCTAGCTCAGCAACCCCTGCCGTAGACAGATACTTGTTTTTATTTGGCCTGAGGGCCACATTGCGGTAGACCACCACCCCACTGAGGGCCACATGCTGGGGTGGATGTGGCCAATGCACACTTTCATGCACAGCCAGCAGAGGAGGAGAGGTCCCTCCACACTGCAGCTCTGGTCTAAGAAGAGAGGTTCCTCTCTTCCTTAGATGGGGAGGAAAGCCCCTCAAATGTTGGGTGCCTCTTACTACCTTTGGAAAAGTGCTGCTTCTCCCCCTGGTGTAGCACCATTGTCAGAAGGCCTTAGAAAAGCGCAGCAAACAGTTTTGGAAGTATTCAGTTTTGGAAAAGAGCTGTGTGCTACTAAAAATAGCTTCACGGACAGGGCCGAGGCACCGGTTTGTCACTTCAGTAGACCTTGGAGGGCCAATGCTGCTTTCAGTCTCTCCTTTCAGTCTCTCAACCCTATCAGGAGGTGCTGGGGACTGAGCCTGGCATTTTTTCCATGCAAAGCAGATGTGCCAGTGATCCACCAGTTCTTCTGTAAACTCTTAAGCACTAACATGTAATTCATTTGGTAGACAGGTATTTGATTTGGTGGACAGGGCACTCTTTCTATGTAAAGTGATCCCCCCCTTTTTTTTTAGCATGGCATATGCTTATAGTCAGCGGTTAAATGTATCTAAGGCATGGAGAACCTGTTGCTCACCCAACTCTCATCTTCCTTGATCATTGGCCATGCTGCCTGGAGTTGATGGGACTCCAACAGCACCGGGAGAGTCACAAATACCCCAGTCTTGATGTATCTGAAGGGCTTGTGCAACTTGCACTTTTAGCCAGCAGGTGTCTCTCTCAGCACCGGGAGAGTCACAAATACCCCAGTCTTGATGTATCTGAAGGGCTTGTGCAACTTGCACTTTTAGCCAGCAGGTGTCTCTCTCATACTGAAAATTCACACATTTTCTGTATGCTGCAGAAATGAATTTGGTAAAGATCCTGGTTTTCATCCATCACACCTCATTCTTCTGTTGCATAGATGCACTTCAACAGAATATGAGGGCCTGTCTCTGTCTTTCATTTATATTAATATTGCAGTGCTGCATAAAATCCTACCTCCAGGTTAAGTGCATGCCTGTGCACTATTCTGCATGCAAGTCCCTCTGAATTCAGCAGGAGTTCTCCCAAGTCTGGCCTGCTGGCCAGATACCACAGCAGCCACCCTGCCTTCTGGGTCCTCTCCTCTCCCAGCACCATCTGTTAAGTAGGGAGCAGCAGAGCTGTAGCTGCAGGAAAAAAAGGGGCTTTGGTGTCATGCAAAGTCTGCAGTTGCAGCTCCTTCCTCTGTATAAAAATATATTGCAAGAAGAAAAGTGGGGGTATGTTTCATAATATACACATGTTGTGCTCTTTGCAGATATGCAAAAAAAGTCATTCATACATTTTGTATGTGTGCAATTTTGGAGATGCAGTTGCACTTTTTTATGTTGAGGCTTCAGAAACTGTATGGCAGGCTTGCTGGGGTTCCCCCCTCCTTTGAATAAATTATTTTAAAATGTTGAAGCTTGTATTTTTTTTAAAAAATATATTTTTTCAGGTCTAGCCTAATGGCTGGAGGGGTCAGACAAGGTGTCGTAAACCCATGGCTTGTGGAGGAGCCTGAGGAAACAAGAGGGCTTGGCTTTCATGAAATCCAGCAACAGCAACAGAGAATTATAGAAGGTAAGTCATCCTTCTTGGTTTTTAAAGCCTTAATCCTATCCTAGAACCTCTATATAGGCCTCATGGTTGATAGCCACTGGTGTTGATTGCATCCTTTTACTCCAGTGACCTAGGTCAGAAAATCTTCCACCTTCACCTTCTTTTGTATAGGATGGAGGTATTGATTTCTGATGTCCAGCTTGTTTTGTCCCTGACCATCCAAAACATTCGAGCACTTTGTTAAATGTTTGTTTTGAGTCCAGGGGGCATTTCTCTGCTTAAGTTCACACACTTGTCATTTGAAAAACAAGTCTGTGGGTAGCTAGGAGCTGGCTTGTTAAACCGGAATTCCTTAAGATGCCTCAGATAATTAGGCACCAAGCCTTAAGTGCCAGCAGAGTTTCAGTTCCTGAATTTTCTAGGCTCCTTGGAAGATATCAGTCTTCTGCATCCCTTGGTTGCTGGTGGAAGATCTTGGACGTACTTCACACTAATCAGGCTAACGTATGTCAGTGTGTAGATAGGGAAACCTCATTCTTATCCAGGCTTGTTTGTGAGGGATGAAAATTCTTACTGGCCCACTTTATCTTGCAGACCACTCTTAGCCTGAAACAACCAGAGTCTGGCACCTTGATCTGGGCTGCCTCATCATTATGAGCTTAGAACTGGCTGGTGTGGCTTGTGTCCCACCAATAAAATGTGGCTTACTTGGGGCTCAGTAAGCCTTTGCTGTAGGTGCTGAACCTTAAAACAGAGTTGTCAAACAACTGCCAGGCAGCCACATAAGCCCAGCAGGCTGTATTGGCATAGTGAGCCACAGGTTGTGTAGATCTACCCTGGTCTCTTGTTTAAGTAGATCAAGTCCTTCCCCGTGCCCAGGCTTCCATCGCCAAATAGCCTGGGGATGGGGAACCTCTGACCCACGGACCCAATTAGGTCCTCTGGGCTTTCCTGTTTGCCCCTCAAGGCCATGTCAAGGGACATCCGCCTTCCCTACACCCAATGTCAGGTGTGGGGCAGGTAAAATCCTGGCTCAGCCAAAAGTGGGTCTGCACGCAGTGCCAATCAGCTTTTTAGCAGTGCCTACAAAGGGCTTGGAAGATAGTGCTTTGAAAGGGGCTTCTGAAGACTGGTTGTCTTCAGGGACCTGTTTCAAATTGCTGCACGAAGACCCCTGTTAGCAAAAAAGGCCACCTGGTGTCATTGCCAGCCAGATCCAGTTCCCCACGCAGAATATAGCCCTTTCCTGCTCCTCTCATTGTCATCATTTCTGTCTCCTTTTTCTTGAACAGTGATTTTATGTGAAGTAGTTGTGAGGCCTCTTTTGCTGATTAAGTTCTACGTCCTTCTCCCTGATGGTAGGAGGAGTATTTTTGGCCTTGGAAACGCTCTCCCATGCACCAGCAGTCATAACGGTGTGGTGCTTGGCTATGCCATCTGTATGGGAAACAGCGTCTTGATGCCAGTAAGCCAGCTATTCCACAACAACTTTCTGCTCCTGTAGTGCTTGTCTTAAAACCTCATGGGCACTTTGGGGGCATTTCAAAGCAATTGTATATGCTGTCAAGTAGGGAGTTTTTAAAAAAATAAAAATAACGGCTTCTGCAGAAAGATCTATTGAGCCATCAGTTAGCCATTAATCTTTTGCCCTCTTTGCTTAAACAGCCATTGGCACACAACTCTCCCGCTCCGGCACCTGTAAAAGAACCCCCTCCCCCTTTGCAAAACGCTACCCACAGTAGTTGATTGTGCTGTCTTTGGAGGACCTCCCCAAAAGCAACTCTCCAAGAGGGCTCCAGTACAAAAGAGAGCTGTGTACGACTGGAGTGTAATTCAGTGCCATTGGGACCAAGGGTGTGGTAATGCCATGTGCTCTGGATTACAATAGGGGGCATTTTGTAAGACTAGAGGGAGACTTCTATTGCGGCTGTGCTGGCTGCAGCTCCCCTTGCCAAGAGTTGGATTATCTCCCCCCATAAACACCACATTTACACGCAGCTTGAGAAACCCTTTGGATTCCTTGGTGCTTGCATCACCTATTTGTTTCTCAGTCATGTTAAACCTTCCCTGGAAAATCAAAAAGGCTTAATCAGGAAACTATATGAGTGTGCCAAAATAAAATAAAAAAAACATCCAGTGCTCTTACGATGGAGGAGCAGCTGCAAATCCAGTTTCTGAAGGGTTTGGGACTCTTGGCTAAACTTTCTTTTCTAAGACACTACCCAGCACTGTCACTTTTACCCTAGTTTCTTAAGATCTGTCTGTTTTGGAATTCATTGTCGTGCCATCGGTGAGGTCTTTGGGTCATTAAGTTTTTAACACTTCAGTTGCAGACTTTTCATAATGTTGCTTAGCTGTCGTGGGTCATAAATCTGGGGTTTAGCATCAGAACACTGGAATTTAATTTGATTCATTTATATTTTTTTGTGTGTTTTTTTTTGTTTCTCCCCTTTGCAGAGCAAGATGCTGGTCTTGATGCTCTCTCTTCTGTCTTAGCCCGTCAAAACAGATGGGGCAGGAAATTGGAATGAGTTAGAGGAAACAGAATGGTAAGGACCGTCCTGCTTTCAGAGTTTGATGGGTTCAAGAGAGCACACAGTCATTATTTCGGTGTTTGTCCCCAGGGCCCAACGAAATCCGTTCCGATTTTTCATCTAGCGGTTTTTTTTCCGTCTTGCGAAGGCAACCCCATTGGCGCTTAAGCGGTTAGCGCTATTAGCGATTTAGCGCTGATTAGCGGCTTAGCGGCTTAGCGGATTAAAAGCTGTAAAAGGCTATTAAACAGCTTAGCCGCTTTGAAAAAGGGGGGGAAGTGGGGGGGAAATGGCGAGACTCGCAAGACGTTTTCGTCTTGCAAAGCAAGCCATAGGGAACTTCGTCTTGCGAAGCGCCTCCCGCGACGGAAAACCCCTTTCGTCTAGCGGGTTTTCCGTCTTGCGAGGCATTCGTCTTGCGGGGCACCACTGTAGTTCTGTTCTAACTGAAAACCTTCGGCGCGTCAATCTTGCTGCAATCATTATTAAACCACTCCCAATGATAGTTTCCCCCCCTCCCCGAACAGTAATAGAAGAGCCAACAATTAATCATCTCATTTCTAAGTGTGATGGTATAAATGAATTGACAACAGAGTTTGCTTCCCACTCCTAGCATTGGGTTCAGGCCGAGCAATGGGAAAGAGAGAGTGCTGAATTTTTATGTCATCAAAGTACAGATTTCAGAGAAGTTTTAAAAAGTGAAGAATTGTTTCAAAACTGTTACTCAATCTGCCCATGTCCGCCTGGATCATTATCTCATGTATGGTGTGGTATGGCCCTAGATGCCACTGTGTCATAAAATATTTACTATGCCTCCCCTTCTCTCCCATCAGTTGCAAAATTAACCAGAGTACATTGGTGTGGATGCCCCTTGGACATAGAATTGGGCCTCAGGGTACTTTTATTTTGGTCCCTGTGCCTTTGTTGGGGGGTCTGCCTCTTAGATCTAGAAAATGAGCTGTAAAAGGAGGACAGATTATTTACAGCAGTGTCCCAGGAACAGTAGTCCCTTCGCTCAAGAGGCTACAGTTTCTGTTTGTAGGTAGGTGTAAGGCAGGGCCTTTCAAACTGTGTGTCGGGATACATTAGTGTGTCGGCTGCAGCGTGTAGGTGTGTCGCACAAACACTCCTCATGTTCTCCCAGGGCTGGAAAGGGCTTAGTTTAACCTCTGATTTGCTAGTAAAACTGAGTTACTGTGCCGCGAAATGATGCATGTCTAAAAAGTGTGTCACCAACATGTAGCTCTGGTGCAGGGTGTTTGTGTGTCAGTTCATACTTGCGCTTCTCAAGGGAGCCTTCCATGAGAGCAGAGAGAGACCTAAGCAGGTTAGGTACGGTTAGCTGTTTGATTATTCGTGTCTGAGCCAGTAGGTGGCAGCACAGGACGGAAAAATGCCTAGTGCATGATCGGTTCTTCACCTTGAGGAGCGCATGATTGGTGGTTTTTCGGTTTTTCTTGGAGCTCTGCAACGCACCTTTTCCAGTTTAGCATTATTTCTTACCCATAGTTTGTCCTTTGGTCTGGGAGTATGCTTACATATTCTTTTTTAGTTTAAATGATCACATCTAGGGCTGACGATTAGATCAGCCTTGCCATTATAAGCCCTGAAAAGTTGCTAGCCTGACTTAAAAAAAAAAAATATGAAAGAAAAGTAGGCTCTTAGCTGCCATGGCCTCAGCCTCGAGCTCAGATCTGGGAGGATGAACTGATCGACTCTTTGGCTTTTGCACCACCCACGGGCTGAGGAACTGAACAATACAGTGGTGCCTTGCAAGACGAAATTAATTCGTTCTGTGAGTTTTTTCATCTTGCGAATTTTTCGTCTTGCGAAGCACGGTCAAGTTGCAACTGCACCTCTTCAAGCGGTTTTAAGAAAAAGGAAACAAACTTGCAAGACGTTTTCGTCTTGCGAAGCAAGCCCATAGGGAAATTCGTCTTGTGAAGCAGCTCAAAAAACGAAAAACTCTTTCGTCTTGCGAGTTTTTCGTCTTCCGAGGCATTCGTCTTGCGAGGTGCCACTGTACTGAACTTAAGGCTAGCAGTCAGAAATGTGTGGACCCTGAGCCAGGACCTTCACGGGCACCTTCCCCTTTCACATAGTCCAGGAGGCAGGTCTGGCAGGAGGCCACAGAAAGGAGCACATGCACTCTCCTTCAGGACAGGGTGTTGGCATTTTAAAAGTTTTGGCCTCTTTCACCTTAGCACTGCTTGCTTTGCATGGATCACAACATTTGCAGGCTAGGTTTTATTATGATTATAAAGTCTCCTAACAAATGAAGCAGGGGCAGTTGTCTCTGCCCCTTGTCTGCCAGCCTACATGGTTTCCATGCTGACCGTGGGGGAAGAGGCTCAGCTTTATCCTCTACCAGTCCAGCATGGAAGCTCACTTGGTTTCGCTGCCAGCTGCAGAGGAAGCGATTTGCTTTCCTCCAGCAGCGGATATGCAGGAAGCTCCTTTCTCAGTGCCTAGGAGCAGCAGGTTCGTGATCAGTCTTTCCTCCACCGAACGACTGTATTTTCATTCTTGCTACAGAGGTAGACACTTTACTTCCTTCGCCACCAGTCTGCTCACTCACCTGATCGGAATGCCTTGTTTTTCCTTGTGGTGTCCCAGGCAAGTAGTTATATACAAACACCCGGCTGTATTTTACATCCTGAAGTTTCAGTGGGATCAATTGGATCCTGCATTAATGTAGCTTGTAGAAGTCTGGTGATGCACACCCTTTTCTTTTTCCTGGACTAGTATGAGAGACAGATTTGAAGTTAAACCATACTGTAGCACTCACTCAGTTGTTGAGATGACCCCATGGGAGCAAATCTATAGATTTTTGAGCTTTTCTTTTTTCTTACCGTATGGTAGAACTTTGAAATGTTTCCAGCTGTGTGATCTCTGCAAAGATTTGATCCATCTGGTCTGCTTCTAGAGAGGGTTGCATGAACATTAAGTGACTGGAAGGCAGCAGCTCTGATACTTCCCCATTTGCTGAGCACTTTCTTCATTGAGAAGGTGTCACTGCCAACAACAACAGCAACAACAACAACAGCAACAACAACAACAACAACAACAAATTTATACCTCACCCATCTGGCTGGGTTTCCCCAGCCACTCTGGGTGGCTCCCAACAGAATATTAAAAACATGATAAAACATCAAACATTAATACTAGTAGTCTAAGGGTCAAGTGCACATTTTGTGTCCTCATGCCCTGTTTTTCACCCTTTCTGCTCCCAATCTGATCCTGTTTTTTCCAGGGTTTCTGAGGTGCATATTCAGCCCTGGAAAGCATTGCACAAAAGTTAACAGACTTGCCTGCTCACATGTCCCTGGGTTTATTAATTTGTTACGTACTGCGGGAATGATGGAGTGAGATCAGCCTTGAAAATTAAAATTCACAAAAGTTGTCCTAGCCTACAACAACTTTACTTGCCTGCCAGATTTGAAATGGGAAACTTTTTTTTTTTTTTAAAAAAAAAGCATTTCTCTAATCTCAGTCCTCGGAGAAAACAGATTAAAACCCCAGCTGTTCTGAGATTACTAAACTGAAGGCCTTAGGAGGGAAGAGATGTGGAGACTTAAAAAAAAAAAATCTGTCTTGACATAACTTTAAAAGAGCACCATAAAACAGCATTTGTAAAAAGAGCCGGGGGGAGTGTTCCATTGCTGGTTTCCCATCACAGATTTAAACTGACAAAAGAACAAACAAATAAATCAAGGTAAAATGATTATGATCTGCCCACACTGATACCAAATCTCACCAAAACTTCACAGTGCATATCACGTGAATACCTTCTGCTGCTCATGTGTATGTTTGTTTAGTCAGAGTTGGAGTTGCTGAACTTCAGTTTGGGTCTCTTCCATGACTAGTGCTGAGAACTCCCATTCCTAGGCAATATAATCAGAACTTTGCACATGGGGTCTCTGATTAACCTTGTGTGCGATGTGGAGCACATATTTTTCCATAAGTGTTCCGCCCTTGATTAATATCAACTCAGTATCTGCACAAATTATCGTTCAGTGATCTGTCTTGGACAGAAGACACAGTTCCCTCATCTGTGTATTTTTGGTCTGTATTGAGGCCATTTTCATAATATGTAATCTCTGACAAGTGTACAAGCAACTGTGAGTGTTTGGAGCCAGATGAATTTGTAATGGTCTGCAGGAAAGCAGCATTGCCGAGCCTATGAAACTAACTCCTGTAGATCTCGTTGCTCCCCAAGAGCATGGTAAATGATTGTAATGCAAACCGCAGTGAATCGAACTACCCATCATCTTTCTATATCACCACCGGAGTTGGAAAAGCCGGGTTCAAACCCCCGCAAAGCTCACTATGTGCCTTGTTCTGGTCACAAACTGTCCCCCTAAACTACTGATCAGTGATGGTACAAATGATAGTGTTTACTGCTCCAAGAAGGGTGAAATATAAATGAAATTAAAATTAATTAATAGTAAATTAATGTTGTGGCCGATGACAGCATAGGAAGCAGGTGCTTTTTGATTTTTGTTTCTTTGAAGAACAAGATTGTCACCAAAAGTGATTTGCAGAGTGTTGCAAACAATATCTTTCTAAAGAGTGAGCTTTAAGTACATTCTTGATTCTGTGAATGTTCTAATTCCTGTGGTATATTTAATGTTTTTCTCCTTCGGGAATGGCTGAAGTACGGTTCTGTTGCCCACGCATCCTTTTTTTACAGCTTTGTGACATGACCTGCATTCTAAGCCATCAGTTGTGCCCCTGTGACATCTTGCTATGCCCTTAGTTATAAGAAATTTCATTGCCATTATGACACAATTCTGAAGTAAGCCGCATCATTCTTGGTGGGAAGAGAGGAATATCAAGCCTTCCTTCATCCATCTTGAAGATATGCAGCCAAGCAAAAGAAATAAGAAGTTTTAAGTACTGTACACACAAAGAGAAAAATGAGCATTAAAACTTACTTCTCATTTGATTTTACTTTAATAGCAGGTCTGTCATATCTAAGCTCTAGTCTCATGAAAGGCTGATATTTAAGTGTA